TGGCGTAGCATCTGTAAGGCTTCTAGAATAGTACCTGGAGTACCTTACACACTCCACACAGGTAAATAAATTTCTGCGCCTCACCAACTAACACAAGGTAGTTCTTTAGTCTCATGGCCCCGTTCCAGTACAACCTTTCGGGTTTTCCCAAGATAAATGAAATAGCCAGAGCACCTCTGAACAATAACTGAACATTGGTCTAAACATTCAGACCTGAGTGTGATCAGAATCTCCTAGAGGGCTCCTGAAAATACCAATTGCTGAGCCCCACCTTGGAGTTTCTGATTCAGCGGGCCTGGGCTGGGACTCAAGAATGTGCATTTCTACCAGTTTCCAGATGTTGCCGATGCTATTGGTCAAAGGACTATATTTTGAAAACCACTGGTCTAGAGTAATAATAAAACTGAACTTTTACATTTATGTTGATGTCTTATAACACTCCAGGTGCTTTTATACCTTCCCTCTTTTAATCTTTGCAATAGCCTGCTAAGGTAGGTATGATTTTGATGTTATAGTTGGGTAAACTGAGGCTCAGAGAAGGTAAGTAACTTGCCCTGGGTGATACGGTTAGTGTGCGACAGACCTCAGATCTGCCTCCAGAGCCTGCCCAACCTATTACCTGTCCTACTGAATGTGAGAATTGGCTGCCACTTTGGGGGCAGGACAGGCTGGGTCTTAAAGTGGGGTGAGGAGTCCACCATGGGGAAAGGAAGAACGGAGGCACAGGATCCAGGCACACTCTGCCAGCTGTGTGTACAGGAAAGAGCCTAGGGTCCCAGGCCAGGTGACCGAAAATCAGCTGTATGTCTGCAAGCGGGGGTCTGCCCCTTTCTCATTCTCAGCCTTTCAGACACCAATACGACTTCCTTGACTGAGTAGGTACTTACTGAGCACCTGCTATGTGCCCCACGGTATAGAGGAGTTCAGTAAATAGGGCGCCCTTCCTTAAGTAGGGGGTAAAGAGGGGCCCCTGGTTAATCTGTCACAGAAATACAACGGCTCGAAGAGCAGGGAAGAAAAGTACAGGGAGCTGTTCGAGCCTGGGGTGCAGAAATCACAGGAGGCTTCCTGACGAAGGGACCCTGAGATGAGAGCAGAGGAATGAGATGTTGCCTGTCTTACGGGGTTGGGAGTGTCCTGACGTCAGAGCAGGCACCATGCATTCGAGCAGCTAAAAGAAGGGCACGGTTACCAGAGTTGTGCATAGGGAGCAGCGCGTGAGGCTGCCCAGGGAAGTAGGTCCCAAACCGTCAGATGAGGCAAGGCGTGTGGGGGCTAGTAGGGCTTTCTTCTCTCTCCGTGGCATCCTGGAGCTGATTCATGCCCGCTTGCAGCAACAGGTTGTTAAATATTCGGGAATTTTGTGAGCTAGTGGGCGCCGTGTTGTACCTTGAGGTCGGTCATGGTGGGAGTGTTCCTGTCACAGAAGTCAGCGGATGTGGGAGGTCAGGGCCTTTCCCCTGCCCCGGGAGATGTTTGATAAACATTTGCCAACACACCACTGACCTTTGTCCTTAAACTACAAGGAGCAGACTGACTCCAGAGGGATCCTGTTTCTGTCCCCCTGGGTTTGTGTTTGGGGCGGGGGCCCTTTGGATCTCCAAGTCTTAGCAGTTACATCTCCCCTTGATTAGCTGCCGGCAGCTGTCTCCTCCCCTCAAGCTGGTTCTTGCCCATCTTGCTCCTCAGCCGAGAGCGAGGTGGGTGCAGGCTGCCGCACCTTCCTCTCACCATTGAGGAGTTTGCTTCTCCTCTATGTGACTCTCCTTAATTCTTCTTGAATATCAAACAAGGAGCACCAACTTAAGCTGTTTTTCAAGCTTGCAAAATGTAGATAGAACATAACGAATGTCCGGGGCTGCTTGTAAATTACCTTGTATGAACTCCCCCACACTGCCCACTGCCCCACCTCTCTCCATGTGCGTGGGGAGAAACACAATTTTTTATCCTTCTAATTACATAAAGTGAGACGAGGAAGGGGACACAGAATAATATTAGCGTCCCCCAGAAGGAATACATAAACCATGAGGACACCGCTACTCCTCGCAATGCCTTTCTGCAGACTGGCGTCTGCATTCTAACCTTTAACAAGCACACACATAGCTCTCGGCCTCTGCACAGAGGCGGATTTACCTTTGGGACAAGGGGCAGACAGGAGCACCAAGTTACTAAGTTCTCTGTCATCAGTACATCACCTGCCTCACATCCAGTCAGCAACCACCATTTATTAAGCACCTGCTGTGTGCCCAGCACTGTCCTAACACTCTTTAGAGCAGTTTTAGATTTGCAGAAAAATTGAGCAGCATGCAGAGTCTCCCCGTATTCATCTTTAAGAATATCGAACTAAAAGAAAGGTTTGCTTCCTTTTGTTTGCTTTTTAATAATTTGTGCTTTCAGATTTTAAATTCCATTGTATGTTAAAGTAAATTACCTTTCAACATTTTACACCAGAGTCTCCGTCCCCAGTGCTATAGACCCCTGGAGCAGGCATAACTCAATAAACAAAGCAGCTTTTTGAATCGATAAGTCATTAGTGAGACCAATGAGTGAAAACACAATATGCATTTTCACTTGTTTAAGGCTTACAGTTTTTGTAACTTCTGGTGACAAGGTTTAACAGCCAGAGCTCAGAATAGGCTTCTGGGACTTCTGTGAGCTCCTGCTGGGAGGGTTGTCCCCCAGGAAACCCACTCGCTGGGGCTAGAACTTCCCGGAGCTGGAGACCAGCCATTTGCACAGGCTCCAGGAGTAGGACCTGTGAGATGCGAGACGCCCAGGGGCAGCCTGTGTGTGGACAGAACGGGGGTCCAGAGTCAGACAGGCTCGAGACAGGATCCTGGCCCTGCTACTTGCAGGCTGTGTAACGTGGGAAACTTGCTTAGCCTCCCTGAGCCCATTTCTTCATCTGTGAAATGGGAAGAAGAAGAAGTATACATCATCATGGTATTAATAATATAATAATCTATAGAGCGTTTGGGGGGAATAAATGATGGAGTAAGACCGTGTATGTAAACTCTCGGGCACCTGTTGTGAACTCTGTAAAGGTTAGTTTCAGACTTCTTCGCACCCCACTCCCCAACCCAGCGAAAGAGATGACTCAGACCTCCCACCTACTCCTTGAGTTGCTTCCACTGAAACTCTTCCCTATGATGAGTGAAAAAGGTGGCGTGCAGGGTATCTCAACGTCTAGCACAGCGTCAGGCACACGGCAGATGCTCCATGAATAATTTTTGAATTAATTCGTTGATCAATTCATAGACACGGGGAGGTGCGCTGCCAGTCCTGCACCTGTCTGTTCATCCTGGGACCCAGTCCTCCCCTTCCCCTGCTCACAGGGAACCAGCCCCTGCAGGTTGCATTTCTCAGTCTCTCGGCAGCTGGCTTCTGCCTGGTTTTGCTCAAAGACAGACACTGGTGGGATTTGGGAGGCGGGAGAAAAGAAGAGGCAGGGGTCTTTCTCCCCCTCTGTCCCAACCACAGGCCCCTCCTTTCCTCCAGTTTCCACCAAAGAAGCCCCCTGCAGCAGCTCCACTTCCCGCAGGTGGCCCCAGCTCCTCTCTCTGTCCCAGCGTCCCTGGGGAGGCCATGTCTAAGAAAACAGCATGCTCATCTCTGACTTACTTCATTCTCTTCTCTTTGGCTTCTCAGCTTGTCCATCACCCAGGTAACCACTTCTCTGTTGTCGGTTCCTTCCACTGTGGACACCTGAAGTGGTTTCTAATGTCCACTTAGGCCCCTCTTTGGAAGCAGGAGTATCTGGACCCAGAGTTAAGAGGAGCCCGCTCTTGAAGCTCCACCATCCATTGGCCATGGCCAGTCAGTCCCTGTGAGCCTCCATTTCCTCCTTTGTAACAAGCACCCATCCTGCTTCTTCCCCAGGGCCATTGTGTGAGTCAGTGAGGCAGTCCATTCCTCCATTCACCGAGTACCTCTGAGTACCTGCCACGTGCTGAGGTGCAGAGGGTGGAACAGGGAACAGAACAGCCAGCGTCCCTGTTCCCAGGGGCTTCCAGTTCGTAGTAGTAAATGTGCTGATAAACTGCAAAGTGCTATATAAGTCTAACAGAATAAGCAGACCTGACCTTGACCCCCAGGGACCCTTGGGGATGCTCAAAGCTCTCCAGCCCACTTGCTGGGAACCCCCACCATGCCCTAGAGTAGGGGGACTGGCCAGCGACATGCACAGTAACCTGGACAGCAAGTGGAGCCCCTCCTCCCAACCAGACCCAACTAGAGAGTCCTGATTGCATGTGTCTGTTTATGGATTGCAGCTCACTTTAATTAATCGTAAAGGATTAGCCTGATTCTTCTGCTGTACTAGTTTTGTTGTTGTTTTTTTTCTAATGGCTGTTATGTGGTGTTATTTGAAGGCAGCGTGCCATCGACCAAAGCCTGCAAATCTTGTTTATGCCTAGATTGTGTTTGAAATGGTATTCTCCGTAACACGATTTTTAGTTATTGATGACCTCTTTTATAATGATTTAGTCAGCTCCGCTTGAATGATAGTATTGATAACAATATGTGGCCGACAATCTATTTGCAGCAATACTCCAAGAGGCAAAAGAAAAGCAATTTGTGCCCATGTAGAAAATAGGTAAATTTGCCGTTTTTAAGCAAGCATGAAAATGGAGCTTATTAATCCTGATCCAACACCTCTTGCTTCTCCGGTGCTTTCATACAGTCTCTCTTGCATTGTCCTATGGAGAAGGTATTTCCATCCCCACTTTAATCACTAAGACTCACCCAGGCAGGCAAAGGCAAAGCCAGAATCAGAAGGGCCTGTGGGGAAAAGAGAAGATACAGGTCCTTTTGAAGGCATCGTATTCTCCCCGGGCCTCAGCTTCCTCATCTGTAAATGGGGATGTGAACAGCGGGCGGTGCTGGGGGTTCAATGGGAGGGCTCTGCGAAAGTCGCAAGTCGCCTGGTGCCGGGTGTGCAGTAATTGATAAATGGTGCCTCTAACGGAGGACAGGGCTGTTCTCTCTCTCTCTCTCTGCAGATGACCATTCCCGGGTGAGGCTGCTGGTGCTGGATGGCGACCCGCACTCTGACTACATCAACGCCAACTACATTGATGTGAGGGTCTTCACGGGGCTGGGCAGCTGGGGGCTGGGGTTGCTCACGGCAGGCTCAAAAATCTGTGGCTGTCCCCCTGACTCTCCCTGAGAAGGTGGCCTTCCCAGACCATGGCCAGATGGCTCCTCCCTGATTTGTGTAATTAGTGTGTCCCAAGATATTTATCCATCCCGAGCTGCCTACCCTTTCAGGCTGGCTGGAGGGGCCAGCTCTGTGGGGCACAGGACAACTGCCAGTCTTGCTTATTCACCCACAGGTTCTCTTGTATATGCGTCTGTTTATCCAGTCATTCATTCATTTGAAGGTATAGCCATTTAGACAATAAGAATTTAACAAGGCCTCCTGTATAGTGGATGCTCTGGGAACCATAAAGCTAAAAATGCCATGGTCCTACCTTCTAAAACCTTAGTGGGAAGATAAGCTATGCCCATCAATAATTGCAGGGCAAACTAGAAAGTGGTGAGAGTCTTAAGTTCAGACAAAATACTACAGGGGCTCAGAGATGGGAGAGAAAAAAAATTGCTTCTTCCATCAGGAATGCAAAGTGCTTTGCGAATCAAAGCTTCAAGCACAGGTAGACTTGAAAATCAAAGAGGGGGAAGGTGGGCCTCTGGTTAGAGAGAACAGCACAGCCAAGATGTAGCAGCTGGAAGCAAAGATAAGCAGCGGCTCAGTTTGAGAGGAGCAGAGACTACATCATGGGAATAGGGGAAAATAAGGTTGGAGGTAGATCGTAGGTGGTTTGTGATCAGGAAAGGAAGTCCGACTTTATCCAGTAAACAAGAAGAAGCTATTGAAAGACTTGATCAAGAAAGTGACCAATTCAGAGCTGAGCTTCGGGATGACTTACCCATCACCAGGGGCAAGAGAGACACTGCAGGGAGGACAGTCTGGGATTAGGACACTGGAATATTGACCTAGAAGGGACTCAAGTCTGATGAGGGAGCCAGATTAGAAAAGAAACCCTCACAGAGCAGGACCTGTGGAGGCATAAAGGAAAATCAAAGCCTAGAGGTTAAGGGGGTGGGTCATCAGGGAAGACTTCCTGGAGGAGGAGACACAGTACTGCCTTAGTCAGCAAGAGTCAGCCAGGCAGGAAGGGTTGATAGCAACCTAAGAATTATCACCTCTTATGTATCAGCATTACCTTAACTAGTACCACAACCTCACAAAATAAGTGCTGTTACTACCCATTTCCAGGTGAGTAGGCTGAGGCCTTCTAGCTCATGTAACTTCCCCAGGATCACACTGCTAGGAGCTGAGGGAGTAGGAGTCAGAATCAGGGGTGCCTCCCCCACCAGGCACTATGGGCTTTAATAACAACAAAGCAATGACAAGAGCCGGTGACTCCAAATGAGTCGCTCTTGAGCCCTATGATGGCAGTTTTAAATGAGCCAGTTTATAGGAACCTCTCAGTAGCCCTCCAAGGTAGCCATCGCCCCCATTCTCCAGATAGAGAATCTGAGATTGCCAAGCTTGTCTCAGGCAAGGTGGCTGGTCAGTGGCAGAGCCAGGCAAGGAAGCAGACTCGGATGCTCTCTGGACTAGATGCCCTCCTGCACGTGCTGAACCAGACTGAGTTCATTCCTTCCATTTCCCCTGGACCTTGTCTGTACTGGAATGTACATGGTAGCCTTGAGGGCCATCGCCCACCTGGGGTCTGCTGGCCCAAGTTGCAACATCTGGCATTTGTCATCTGAGTGGTAACCTGCAGAAGAAATCATTTTTCTAGGCAGACACTCAGTCCAAAGTTCAGTGAGCATCTGACTACAGTCAGAGCCCAGATGCGCTTTGGTACATTATGGGCAACAAATGAAATTGCTGTGAATGCGAGTGAATCTCTGTAGCATCCACAGTAGTAACACCTCCCACTTCTACCAGGTCCTATCATTACACTGCGTTCTGCAAGCCCACAGGAAAAGGGGTCAAGGGTGAGAGTCTTGCTCAAGGTCACACAGCTAAATCCAGTTCTCTGCTCCCCACAGCCTTCTCTCTCTCTCTCTCTAAGGAGTAGATTGTGCAGACCAACCAGACAACCTCTGCCAGGTGCTGCCTTAATATGCCGGGCTCTGTGCTGGTTCTCATGGTTAAAGTCAAGGGCTCACAAGACCCAAGTGATGAATTCAGTCCTTGTGGGGCCTCTTGAATCCAGGCAGTTCTGCTTACTAGCTTTATGATCTTGGGTAAATTATATACTTGTTCTGATATCTGTAAAATGGGATGGTAATGCCACCCCACAAGAATGTGCTACCTGATGTAAGGTGTCTTATCTATCAGGGTTCCACTGGAATACAAAGGCTCATTCAGAGGAATTAACCCAGGAGAGGTGAATATGGGTGGAACAGGATTGAGGGAAACCAACAGGGTGTGGTATAGTGTCCCCAGGGTGGAGAACAGCAGGGTGCTCCAGGCCTAGAGAGAGAAGAGAGAAGCTGCAAGGAGATGGCCCCCAATAGGAGCTGCAGCATTTGATAGAGAGGCAAAGCCAGCCCATGGTGACCTGGTAGGGAGAGCACTGAAAAAACATACATCCCCAAGCTCCCCGTGGCCTCTGAACTCCTCTCTGCTCTTCAGTGACCAAACCCAACCCAAACCAGAAGGCATGGAAGCTGATGGTCTGGTTTATGGAGGTCAACCTCACACAGCACAGAGCAGAGTGCAAGGGAAGAAAGAAATGGTTGAACAGAGAGAACACCAAGCACAAGTGCCTCCCAGCACAGTGTTACCAACATGGGCCACAGGGTGGGGGAATACCACTAATTGTCAACCTACTGTGGGCAGTCCAGCAAGAATACTCTAGACACCCATCTAGTACGCCTGGTCTTCACCCCGGCCAAAGGCTTCCTAGCTCTCCAAAGACCTTAATGCCTGCGCTAGAATCATTTATCCACAATCGGATCTTGATGATCCATTAAAACACCTCCATTTGGATAATGAGCTGAGTGGGGCCAGCTCACTCGGTGTCTCCGGAGGCTATGGTTCTGCCACTGCCTGAACCACCTGCTGGCGGGGTTGTTCATGCACCTGAGAATGTATTGGCCACTTGAATCTGTTATAAATTACCAGTCTGGAAATAAACACCGTATCTGGGTCCCCAGTAAGTAACAGATGCATGAGTGCAGAGTGAGATGAATGTATTTTGGACGCAAGCCTCCTTCCCATTGCTCACGGACAGATGCAGGCAGGCCCGCTGCTGGTTGGCAGCCCATCTGCGTGCTGCTTAGGTGGGACTCAAATGAACTCAGAGTTCTTTTAAGGTTAGAAAGTTTTCTGCACCAGCTCGTAGCAAGTCCCTGGAGGAACCCCAATTAAGCAGTTCATTTCCTATTACCAACGCTGCTGAGGAGTCTTGCTCGTGGTTAGAATATTTTCTCTTTGGGGACTGTATGGGTTCTTAGAGGCCAGGCAGCATCTCTTCACTCGGACGCAGCATCAGAACAGGCGCACAGCATGCATGAATGCATGTGTGTAAACAAAGACCATTATGCCCTTTGGTGATTAGTGCTCTGAAGAAAAATAAATAAATAACCCAGAGAAAGCAGAAAGAGTCTGACAGGATGGTCAGGGAAGGATTCTCTGGGGAGGTGACTAACACCCAGTTAGTCCCCTAAACTATGAAACCACCCAGTATTTGGGGACAGACTTAGCAGGCACTGGGAATGGCCATGGCTGAGGCCTCTAGACAGAAACGTGATTGTTTCTGAAGAACGGCAAGACAGCCAGTGCGCCATAGGGAGGGTGGCAGGAAAACTGAGACTCGTACCGAAGGGGCGAAAGGGGAATAACAGCAATGTCGAGATGCCCAAGCTCTGCTTACGGGGCCAGTCCAACTGCCACCACCTCAGAGAATACATTTCTGGCCCCGTTGGCTGAGTCAGCTCCCCGTGGGGACCCCACAGAGCCCGCATCCATCTGGCTCACTTTGGTATTTCCAGTGCCTTGTACATAGTAGTAGGTGCTGGACTAATTCCTCTTAATTGAATATTGAATGACTGAGAGAACAAACGAATGGACAAACTAGTGAGCCCAAACCGTCTAATCCCACAATTGAAATGTGAATTTCTTACTCAGAATTCAGTCCCATTGACTTTCAGGCACATTAAAATCTTCAAAATTAGTTTCCTCCAGAGGGTCTTTTGTCTTCTGTGCTTTAGGGAGTGGCCCAACCTCACCTTGAAGACATATTCATGCCCATATGCCACCAACCAGCCTTTGCTGAAAACTGCACCTGGACCTGGGTGACCTGTCTCGTGGCCTGGAGGGAGCAAAGCACAAAAAAACATAGTGCAGTGCATGTTGTAAATGTGCTGATACAAAGCCCTGCAGGACCACTCAGGAGAACGGAGGTCCCATTTGAAGTGCAGTATGGGAAGCTGGGACACAGGCACTTGGGGCTGTGGAAGGGGACAGAGAGGGACAACTGGAAATGAGGCTGGGGACAAGGATGGAGAGGGATTATTGGCCCCAGGTTAAGCATTCAGACATCACTATGCAGGCAGTGGGAAGCCATTGCAGTTTTTATGCGGGGAAGTAATGTAATCCGATGTGCGCTGGGAAGTTCCCTCTGGCTGGAAGCAGATGAGCTATGGGACCAGACTGGAGGCGGGGAGGCCAGCAAGAGGCTGGTGCCATGGCCCGCGTCAGGGAGGATGGGGACTGTAGGAAGTGAGGATGGGATGACACAAGAGTGGGCTTGAGAACCCACATCTTTCCCTGCTCGCAGGTACTATGTTTTGTTCCCAAACCCGCTCAGGAAAACTCCTAGAGTCTAGAGTTGAGCCTGGGAAACCCTGTCCATCTTGACTTGGAGGGGCAGATAGCTCTTCATGCCTCTCACCTGCCTCTCTACTTCTCATGTCTCAGAGAAGGGCTCAGTTACTGCAGTGTTAGAGCAGGAGAACAGGGAGGGAAGGGCCGCCACCATCTCAGGACCTTCCAGGTGGCCAGCACAGACTTCTGGTGGTGACAGGCACTCAATAAATGTTTGCCAGATATACAATAAAATGGCAGCAATAACAAAGACATATGTTAAATCATAGAATAGTGCCTGGCATATAGGAACTATTGTACATGAAGTCATTTAATGGGAACAGCAACATTATAATGTAAATAGTAGTATCCCATTTAACAGCAAAAAATCAACTGAGGCACAAGGAAGTTAAGTAATTTGCCTCAGACCACGCATCCTGTAAGGGACACAGGCAAGATTCAAACCCAGGCAGCCAGGTCCCACGTCGGTGCACATAACCATCATACTTTGCTGTCTTTCTAATTGGCCTGGCAATAGCTTGTTCATTGGCCGTTGCTCTGAGTTTCACACTGTACTGGGCTCCCTGTAAAACATTTTTAAAACTTAAGAGGCAGCAGTTGTCCTCAAGAAGCTGATAACTTCACTAAGAGGCTAGAATCATGCAGAGTTTGGATGGAGCTGTGGATTTCTAGTGGTTAGTCCAACATTTTGGGGCATGACATTGGTCTTGGGTCGGTACTGACAGTCAACCCAAACATGACCAGTAACTAGAAGGTATCAGGTAAATATTTATGGAACCAAGTGGAAGACAGTCAGAGAAATGCAGAGCACTCAGAAACTAGACTTTGAATCAGAAAGCAGATCCAGGACTTCAAAGATGCCATGTCTATTTTACCATAAACCATACAGATGGTGAGTCTGGCTCAGTTTCTAAAGAAGGGGGCCTTGAAGCCGCTCATCCACCTCAGTGGGAGAGAAAGGCTGATCACCAACAATTGAGACAGAAATAGGTGTTCATCAAACTGTAGGGCTTATTTTCTCCTGAGGTGGTGAATCATAAGGGTGAACCATCAACAACCTCTCCACCAACAGACTCCATAATCAGCATCTGTATTTTTTTTAATGTATTCATTCACTCATTTATTCATTCAGTGATTGCTAAGTAAGTTCAATGTTACATACTAAAGGCCCGTCTGGCTCCAGAACTTGAACTTCTACCCGATGTGATACACTTCCTCTCTGTAGTAAGAGAGGGGGCCCTCCATGTGTGCCATGTCCAGGCAGAAGAGAAAGTCATCTTCACCCTCTTCCCCAACTCTAAGGATTGTGGGGCACCAGGGAACCCCGCAGCAGAGCACAGCAGGGTCTGCTGAAACGCTCTGTGACGTACAGGGAAATCAGAACCTGGCTGATTCTCGGAATTAGAAAGTGGCTTTATCCATCTTGAGGTCACACCTATGCGGGGTCCACCCCAATGAACAGGTCATCAGTTCCAAGCCCAGCCATGTCGCACAGAGAGGCAGTGGAACGTCCATCCCAAAGTTCTTTTCCAAGCTGTCACTAATGCAAGAAGCCAACAACGCAATTATTTCCTTCTCTCAGGTGCCCCACAGGGCCTTTTACAGTGCTCTGCATATAATCATGGCTTAGGAATGAATTTTTGGTGGTTGATGCCCCACAGAAACCCAAAAATTTCTTTCCTACCTTTTTCTGGGTGCATGGATGCAAGTGATGCCCACTCAATTTTTGCTGCTTTTCCGCTGGCTCCAAGGCAAGCCCATGTGGGTACCTCTCAAATATAGTAATAGAGTGATAGCTAACATTTAGTGATTTACTAAGCACTTTGTATGCATTACCTTATTTAATCTTTGACACTTCTAGAAATGTCCCAGGTTATTCCCATTTTGCCTATGAGGAAGCCATGTCTTAGAAAGGATAATCATTGGTCTTATGCTGTTTGCATGCTTTGACAAGAGGCCTTTCACTGTGCTTTTCTCTGTTATCCAGGGATACCATCGACCTCGGCACTACATTGCAACTCAAGGTAAGTGCCCTCCTTTCCCTCTAAAGGGCCCTTGCCCTTCACTGGAGAAGAGAGATGAGCTTCTGCCCTCAAAAAAGTCATGTAGGAGTCTCGCTGGGGCACCTCCAGAGGTCTTGAGATTGCTCATTGTTTTTTGGGGGAAGTAAGGGGGTTAGAAGTTCAGCTACAATAGGGAGGGACATGAGTAAGAGAGGGAGGAGTTGTGACTAGGAAATGGTCAGGCAGGACAGACCTAAGCAGCAGCCTCAGGCGTGTGCCCCCAGAATCCACCGTCCCGAAGTGGAACTGATGGTGCCTTATCTCCCTGGCGCATGTGTGCCAAGACGAGAGCAGCAGCCAGGTGTCTTAGAGAGCAACCTGGCAGTATGTAATCAGAAGGCTGAAAAATGACCATTCCTCTCAAGCCCTTCTGGGAGGAAATCCTGTGGATAATTATATGTGTGGATAGTGACATATATAAATGACACTCTTCACAGTGTTATCTACAATAGGAAAAAGAAGTGAAAAATCTTAAGTGCCCAACAACTGGTAGATCGGTTAACATGTGATATTTCCCTATTATGGAAAATTATGCAGCTATGAAAAATATCATGCTTGGAAAGAATTTTTAAGGGCATACAATAGATACAATGCTCTTATAGTAAATACATATACAGATACATGTATATGTGTATATATAGAAAAATGACATTCAAATTTTTATATCAAATACACATATTACTCTTGTAATTTTAAAAATGATAAAGGTCCGAGATGTCGAAAGAGGGATTTCTAAGAAAATTGCTTTGAATTCTCAGGTCCCATCTCCCCTCATTTCTTGTCTACTTTGTTCCCCTGTCTGCCTGAGCTCTAGACAAATGCTCAAATTTGGGTGTCTTCTCTCTGTGCGCTCAGCGTTGGGCCCCTGGCAGCTCTCTGACCTCCCGCCCTCCATACCCCAATTTCCTTCCTGTCTCATTGAGGTTCTGGAGCCCCAAACTTATAAAATCTCCCCTAAGCTGTATTATTAACCCATACCACAGTCTAGATAAGGGGGGGGTTTGGGGGAAAGCGGCTGGTAGGAAGGGTTGAGCAGGAGGATGAGCGAGGGAAGAGGAGAGAAGCTGGCGAGTTTGGAATGTGACTCTTCTTACCCACACTCTGACCTCCCAGGCCTCAGGCCTCCGTCGCAGCTACTTGGATGTCCCAGCAAGGATCCCCCATCCTCGCTGTCACTCAGCTATGTGAAGCTGGGACGGAGCAGCCACACAGGATGGCCTCCTGGCTGCTTGCTGACACGTGCAGTCTTTGACCCTGCCGTCTCCATCTCTGTTGGCAGGTCCAATGCAGGAGACCGTAAAGGACTTTTGGAGAATGATCTGGCAGGAGAACTCGGCCAGCATCGTCATGGTCACCAACCTCGTGGAAGTGGGCAGGGTAAGCCCCTCCTGCGGTTACCTGGATAGAGGATGCAGGTGTCCCACACCTGAGCATGTCTCTGTTCACGTATTGTACCAAGGGCTTCCTGTCCAGTATTTCACCCTCACAGCCACCTATGAGGGAGAAATCCTCACTTCTGTTTCATATTCAAGGGATGTCCTCTCCTTTCAGACCCCCCCATTCCTTTCTCCACCCCCACTCTCTGTTGATGACGTCATCTCATATAGCTGGAGGAAATGTAAGCCATCAGACGTGAACTACCACATCTTCACGCCACAAAGCTTGTATCTACTTGTGTCTATAACCATCTCATTCTTCCCCTCTGTTATCAAGCTGAACCATAAAAATAACTGTTTCCATTGACCCAAGTGGTAGAATATTGGCTGATTCTTTGACTCAGCCTAATACGATAGAAGAAGTGACTCTTGTCCTTTCAAAGGCAACCTCAGAGCCTTGAATCATGGATTCTGCTCAAGAATTCTCTCATGTCCCCCTCGCTTGAAAAATAATTCTCTTTCTGATTGCTAGATGTTTGCAAGCAAACATCTTGAGTACCTTCCTCCTTAAAAATACAAGACAGGTGAACAAAAATGATTCTCTTGTCTCTACTTTTCTGCCAAACTCTAAAGACCTGCATGCAGGCTCTGTTTCTGGTTCTCTTCCGCCCACTACAGCGTAGCTCCTCCCACCATCCCACCACAGTGATGATGTCAATATCGCCAACATCCTCCATGTGGACAAATCCAGCAGCCACTTTCTCTTCTCATTGTACTCGACCACTCAGCAGCATTCAACCCTTTGTCCCCTGACCTCTAAAACCTCCGCCTTCTTCAGGGTTCAGACCGTGGTCTGCCATTCTGGTCTATCTCAAGTTTTTCTTGGGTGGTCCTCAGCTCCTCCTAGGGCTTAGAAATGGGAGTGCTATGCCCAGCTTGCTGTTGCCTACTTAGTAAACTGTGGCACGTGCGTGGGTGGGCTGCTGGGGTCACAGGCAGGGTGCGCGCACACTAGAATGAAGAGGGACTCTCTTCTTATGGGCTAACTAGAGTGGGCAGATAAGTTTTTGCTCTGGCTAGAACCAGATAATTCATTAAAATAGAATCCTGGCCTCTGAGATCATGGGAAAGGGAGATCTCGGCTGTGAGTCATAATCCAGTAAAGGGCTGTGGACATTTCATGTCCTCATAGGAATTCAGAGCCAGAAGAGACTTGACCCTTGAACCCACTCTTGTCCAGTCCATTCCCCAGTTTTACAGATGAAGAAACAGATCCAAAGAGGTAGAGTAACTACCCTGAAGTCACCCACCCAGAACCCGTTCAGGGCCTACAACTCTCAGGTCTCATTCGAGTGCCCGTGGGGTCTCCACCCAGGACTGCTCCCCAGGGACTGAGGCCCAGACTATGGTTACTGTGGACAAAAAGCCATCCCAGGATTTAAGAATCCAGAGGCAAATTCCAGCCTGTTCTGTAATGTATCCCACATCAAAGACCAGTTCCCTGGATGGGTAGACCATGAATCCAATTTGAATTTGGGAAGGGGACAGAAGAGCCATCTCTTAATGGGACTCCTGCTTGGAGCCAAGCACTGCACCAGGCCCTATCATGCATTAACTTTATTTCTTCTCACAATTGTACAAGACAGTGTTCCTGGTAATTATTCAGATGCCCTGGCTTTGCATCCTGGCTTCACCCCTTCCTGTTGACCTTAGGCCATTTTCTTAGCTTCCCGGTACTTCTGATTACTCATCTGTAAAATGGGGATAATAATATCTACATGGTTCTAGTAATAAGTAGTTAAAATAATACATGTAAAGTATTTGTAGGAGACAGTGTTAGACATAGTAAGCACTCCATAAGTATAGCGGTCATCATTAATAGGAGCTGAGGCTCAAAGAGGTTTCAGCACTTTCTGGAAGCTGCACAGCTGCTGAGTGTTTGAGTCATGCAGTCCACCCATGTGCCTCCAAAGCCTGTTGCACTCCACCAGCGTTTCCCTAAGTGGGTTCCACGGGATGCTAGTCTGCAGGATGCTTAGTGAGAAGAGGGTTCCATGGTTAAATACGTTTGGGAAATGCTGTGTACTCTTTGCCCCTTTTGGAAAGTCAAAAAGAAAACAAAACAAAACATTAGCAGTAGCACATTAAGCCAGCTGAGTAGTCCTGTAGTAAAACAACCTGTTTAACTTTGTTTAATCCAGCATTTCCCAAACTCATTTGACCACAAAGCCTTTTTTGTTTTTGTTTTCTTGTTCTTTACCTAACACCTATTAGCACCCAGCGGAACACACTGTGGGAAATGCCACTCTAGGCCGCGCGGCGTCCCCCGGAATGGTAATGCTTTTGTTCTTTTAAGGGGAAAACCATGATCTCTTGTTCCTCCTGTGGAGTGTGACTGAGAGTCAAATGGGGGAATGGCTTGTTTAGAGCGTCAGCACCTGCTGCCCGGTCAGAGAACAGCGGCAGAGTCTTCCCCTTGAGCCCGGCACTTTCCATACTTTCCCCAACTGAGAGCCTTCTCCTTCTCTCCTTCCAGCCCCCAATGACCAGATCTTAACACTAATGCCCCCCTCCCCACCACTTCCGCTTTCCCCTCCTCACCGTTTCCCACCTTTTATTCTCATCTCTGCACTGCTGATATCAGCTGCCCCAGCCTGATATACCACTCAGCCAAAGGTAGAAAACCGGCCACATGACCTTGGAGAAGCCACCAAACCCTCCAAACTTGAGCATTATTTTCATCTGTAATATGGGGAGACCACCACCCACCTATCTCACCTAGATCTATTATTTGATAATGGATTTGAAAATTTTAAGGAGCTCCGCAAAAGAAGGTACTACCATTACTCCTAATGGCTCCAACTCCTGGGAGTGAGCTGGGCCTGCGCACTTTCTGATCCCTGGCCAGCTGAGAACCCCTTGGACTGAAATGCCACCAAAGTCACCCTTGGGTTTATTTGAACGGGAAACCCAGATGATGCAGCTGCTCACACTCAGCCACCTGCTCATGTGTCCTTGTTTCTGTCCTTTCTTACAGGTGAAGTGTGTGCGATACTGGCCAGACGACACAGAGGTCTACGGAGACATTAAAGTCACCCTGATTGAAACAGAGCCCCTGGCAGAATACGTCATACGCACCTTCACAGTCCAGAAGGTAAGCGTCACTGTGGCTGTGGGCAGCCTCTCCACTCAGCAAGCCAGGCGGTCTGTCCATTCAGGACACACAGCGAGCAAGGTCCACTTTGTTGCCCGTCCTGTGACTGACAGATCAGCAATCAAGTTAGATGTGGCTCCTTCTCCAAAGGATCTCATCTCCAACAAAAGGGATGAACAGAATTCAACAAATACATGGAATAATACACATGGTGATAAAAGCCACGAAAGAAACATGCCCCTAGTGAAGACAGAGGTGGTCAGGGAGGGCATCCTGGAGGAGGAGGCATCTAGACAAACAATGAGGGGCAAATTTTTCAGCATGTTCTAGGCCTGTGGTTCTCAACTTGGGGTGATTTTGTCCCACAGGAGACCTTTGGCAATTTTTAGTTGTCAAAACGGATGAAGGAGAGGTGCTACTGGCATCTCTCTGGTAAAGGGCAGAGGTGCTGATAAACATCCTACAATGCATAGGACAGCCTGGCCCGAAACAACAGGAAACTATCCAGCCCAAAATGTCAGCAGTGTTGGGACTGAGAAATGCTGGTCCAAGCACGGAAAGGAGGCCAGGTGGCAGGAGCCTGAGATCAAGAAAGAGATTTGCAAATGATTATCCTCATATTTATAATTCAATTATTACAGAACCATTGTTATTATATCATTACTATTGTATTATAATGATAGCTAATATTTACTGAGCATTTACTAAACCAGGTGCTTTTCTAACTGCTTTACATAAATTAACTCATTTAATCCTCCTAACAACCCCCTGAGGTAGGTACAATTATTACTTTCATTCTATAGATGAAAAATTAGGCACAGAGCATTTAAGTTAGTTATCCAAAGCCGCCCAGCTGCAAGGTGGCTGGACCAGGATTCACATGTGGTGAGCCCCTGACTTGAAGTTCATTATCACATCCACTCCACCCTAGTTGCCACTTTCTACCAGCAGCAGTGTTCATGGACGGAGTGGCCACAGGCCTGAGGACGTAGAGCACTTAAGTGTTTTGAGAACTGTGACCTTGGGGTTTGGCAAGTCCTCGTGAGGCCCTAAGCGGGCCCTTGCACAGTGCCGGTCCTGTGTGCACAGTTGAGCGCTGGACATACCGTTTGCTCCCTGCAGCGCCCCCACCGGAGGGAGGACCTCAGCTACATCAATGTGGTCTTAGATCAGGTTCCTTAGAAGCAGAGCCGGAGACAAGGATTCAGATGCACATGGTTTATCAAGGGACCATTCTAGAGAGAAACTTGGAAAAGAGGAAGGGAAGCAGAAGAGAGAAAGGGAAGCCTGGCCTTGGCCTGATTCACAGGGGCCTCAGAACATAAACCACGCCATAGAGTTGGCCCCTTGCCTCAGTCATGCGCTGAGGGGTAACCTTCAGGGTGAGCCGGCTCCTGTCAGCTAAGGGTACTTCCCCAGAAAGGGGGGCACCTGTGAATCACTAGCCGCCAACATTCCTCAGCTGAGCCTGGAGCACAGCCCACAGAGAGGATCCAGGTGGCACGCCCATCTCGTCTACCGCACGGTAACTGGGATGTGATGGCCCATCTTGGCACCAGGCCCTAGTCAGGGGGACCTCAGGGAATTGCAGGCGCCCCAGCAGGTGGAGTCCTTCCTTGGGCTGTGTTTTGGTTTTTCTTTCAATCACAAGGGACGATATTATCCCTAGGAAGACCCAGGTCTCAGAGGAGTGAGTCAGCCAGGCCCTCCGCTGTACTCAGGCAGGCACTCAGCTCAGCGAGCACTGCCTGGGTGATTAGCTCAAAATCGGTTCCTGACCTGGGGACCCAGAAATCAAGAGGACATGGTGCCTGCCCTTAAAGAGTACACAGTCCCATCAAGGAGAGAGAAATAGTCACAGCACAGGTTGGCAAGGGCTCCAACAAGGGCTTCCCGGGGCTGAGCTGATTCAGAGGATGGAGCGGAAAACTCCAAGTGTTCCTGAAGCTGCTTCCTCTTCGCCTGCTTCAGCTCCGCCAGTGGTGCCGTAACTCTGGCCTTTGTTCGCTCCTGCCTGGGCCCTCCTGGGCCCCGCAGCAGCCTCCTGACAAGGCTCTCTGCCCCTAGCCTTGCCCCATCTCGGTTTGAGTTTCCAAGAAATGGAGCCTGAGACCAGGATTTGGGTCCTCTTGATGTGTCAAGGAAGAACTCGAGGAGAAGGGGACAGAAGGATGCAGAACAGGACAGAGCAGGGCAGGAGAAGGAGCTGAGCAAGGGTGTTGGTCTCAGCTGGGACCAGCCTCAGCCTGGTCCTATGGGGAGCTCCAGGGCACAAATTATACCATAGAGTTCATCCCACCTTGAGGCAAGAGGCCTTTTGTACCCCATTAGGGTAACCCATCATCCTGGTTTTCCCAGGACCCTCCTGAATTTAGCACTGAAAGTGCCACTTCCTGGGAAACCCCTCAGTCCTGGGCAGACTGACAAAGTCAACTGGTCACTCTAAGTCTCAGTTACTGACTGTCAGCTGCCCGCTCCCAGCCCAGGAAAGGGGGCTCCTTTGGGGCTGAGAGCAATTCTCTGAAAGAGGGGGAACTCTGAGCTGTCTGCCGCCAACAGTCAGAGTAGCTTGGGCCGGGAAGGCAAGGGACCCTGGCCCAGGAAAACGGACCTGGGTAGCCATGTACGCAGCCACCTAACACACTCAGCCAAATCCCTCCTCCACACAGTAGCCGGCGCGACCCTCCTAAAACGCAAACCTGATGCACTGCCCTTGCCGTGCAGCCATCTGGGCAACCTCCCTGTAGGCCCCCAGTCAGTGCCTCTGGGACAAAGTCCAAAGGCCTGACAGTGGAATTCCAGGCTTTCCAGGATCCAGCAACCGCCCAGCTGCCCACCCTCCAGTCCTGACATCTGCCCTTGCCTGTCTTCCACTTCATTCTGAAGTTGCCCTAGGCTATTTGTGATTCTGCGTATGTAGGGTACAAAGTCCTGTCCCCAAGCTCTGCCTGCACTGCCTCCCTGCCTAGGAAGCCCTCCCTCTCTTCAACTGGGGAACACTCGGGCAGCGGTGTATGATGATGCTTAGGAATTCAGGCTGTGGAGCCAGCAGCCAAGGTTCAGGTTGTAACTTCACAACTTGCTAGTTGTTTGACCTTGGGCCCGTAACTTAACATTGCTTAGTGTCAATTTCTTCATCCATAAAAAGGAGAGAACAGTACGAGGATTGGTATGACAATTCAATGAATTAATACATTGAAGTATTCAGAGAGTGGCGGACACATAGGCTATGATTAATAATATTAGCCATTATTTTCACTATTAATATGTTTCAAGACACTGGTCAGGCATCACCTCCTCCAGGAAGCCTTCTCTGATTTCTCCTTTCTCCAGAAGGGGTTAGCTCCTTTATGTACTTTATGTACTTTAATAGAATTATCCACTTAGGAGTCTACCTCCCCAACTAGACCATAAGCTGTTCCAGGGACAGAGGCTTTTATTTCAACCTTCCTAGTGCCTAACATGTAGCTGGGCACAGGTAACCCTTGGTGAATATTCTTTAATGGAAAGAATGAATAATCAAACATGCTTCCTATTCAGTGCCACCTAGTATCTCCAGAAGACCGCTAAGTGGAAAAAGTAGGAAGGGACATTGCATAGGCAAAGGCTCAGGGGGACCTGACCCTAGAATAGTCATAGAACTGTCACTTGGACTGGAGGGTGTCTGTGCGAGGCATGGTAAGAAGAGAAGGGAAACCAATCGGAGGTCTAGACCCCACTGTCCCATCAGTCAGAGAAGCTACACTATTATTTATTCCCTATCTTATAATGCTAAATAAGAATCTAATTAATAAAAGAGCCTGGTAATTTTTTAAAGCCAAGGAAACTATCAGAGACAGAACCCCAGACCTTAATCATTGGAAGACCTCATATTCCACTAGAAATGATTTGAAGGTAGTGTTTAAAGCCAACGTTTCTCTGAATCTGTTCTACTGAATATAAGTTTCGTGAAACGCTTGTCCCAAGAAGGTCCCTTGGGCAAACCTAGGGGTGTTAGAGCGTCCCCCGGGGGATCCAGATGTGACTTAGCACACTAAAGGCTCGGACAAGTCCCGCAGTCATACAATCACTTTCACTGTGTCTACTTCCCAAGTTCCCAGATGTAACAGATCACAGAATCCCTCTGTGCAGGAGCACCTATGAACCCTTTGAGGGCCTGTCCTCCCCGGCAGCAGGGAGACTGGGCCCTCAGCACAGCAGCCGTGGCTCCCCAGGGGTGCTGAGCAGGGGTGTGGGCCAGCAGCTGGAGGAACAGAGGCCTGTTCTCTCCTCAGAAAGGCTACCATGAGATCCGGGAGCTCCGCCTCTTCCACTTCACCAGCTGGCCCGACCACGGCGTCCCCTGCTATGCCACTGGCCTCCTGGGCTTTGTCCGCCAGGTCAAGTTCCTCAACCCTCCCGAAGCCGGGCCCATCGTGGTCCACTGCAGGTAAGTGAAAGCCCCCTCACCCCCCTGCCAGCTGAAAAAAGGGAGCCTCTGCAGCTGTGCTCTCTCAGGGAGAGAGATACTGTCTCATCCAGTGGCCTTTATTCTTTGCCCTAAAGATTTTCCGTCTGTGTGTGCTGTGCCCAGTGCTTTCCGATGAGGTCTAACAAGAACGATAGGAGTGGCCTTAGCTGCATTGTCGTCTCTGTTGTCCTGGAAGAGTAACCCTGCACCCGGCCCCCAGGGTGAGGGCTTGGCCCTGACAGCATCTGCTGCATGTGCCCCTTACGCACATTATTTCATTTACTTCTCACCAGCCCTGAGAAGTGGGCATCATCGTCATTCCCATTTCACAGATAAGAACACTGAGGTGCTCAGCAGATAGACACCTCACTCGCATCACACAGGTGTGCAGCGGCAGAGCGGGGATATCTAATGTGCTTCCCTCCGGATGCTCACCCTCAGCTCCTTGACATGGGAGCAGAGTGCCTCAGTGGAAGGCGCTTCTCTTCATTTCTATTATTTTAAAATCAGTTGCTGGTCCTGGCTGGTGTGGCTCAGTAGATTGAGTGCCAGCCTGCAAACCAAAGGTTCGCTGGTTCAATTCCCAGTCAGGGCACATGCCTGGGTTGCAGGCCAGGTCCCCAGTATGGGGCACATGAGAGGCAACCACACATTGATGTTTCTCTCCCTCTCCTTCTCCCTCCCTTCCCCTATCTCTAAAAATAAATAAATAAAATCTTTTTTAACAAATAAGTTGCTGGCCTGCAGGGTCCCTAGTAGAGAATAAATGGACAGCATCAGGTTTCACCTCACTGTGGAGAACAGATACTTTCAGTCCTGACCTGGAAAGTCACATTGGGAATGACAAGCACAGCTTTGAATTGTCCTAAATGGAGATGAAGTGCCATGTCAAGGGCAAGAAGAATTGGAGGACAGTGGACGTCCAGACCTGAAGGCCAGCCAGCCTGTGCCACTGCTCCCCGCCCCCCGCCACTGACTCTCTATTCCAATGTGACTGGGCAAGCCCATCTTTCAGACCCCGCATGCGGGCGCTCTCATCCCTGCCCTGGCAGAGCCACGTCAGTCAAGGTCTTGAGTCAAGTCAAGGAGGGGCCCCATAAACTGGTGCAGTCTCAGAGCCGCCCCTTTCTTTCACGGCCTCTACTTCCCCTCCCCACAATGCAGAGGCAAGAATTAGAAATCCCATTTCACAGACTGCGAGGAGACTGAGGATTAGGAGCCTATGCTCCTTGTACCCCCTGGGCTCTCTGAGAGTTTTCCATCTATTCTCTGCTTTCCATCTCTTTACAATCTGAGGACAACAGAATGTTAGCCTCTAAGTCATATGTCCCAAAGAGCAGCCAGAGAAGGGGGAAGGGGGACAGGAAGACCATGGTAAACAGTTGTCAGGCCCTCCTTGCACGATGCCTCCCTGTCTTATCCTTGTAGCGGGTCACCTCAGTGCATCTGAGCAGAGTGGCACCTGCTGCTGAGATGCTTCTAAAGATCAAATGGGTTGGCTAACGTATACTAGATGCCCAGGAGGATTCTGGGCATATAGTTAGCACTTCAAAATATCACAATACTCTGCCTCTTAACTCTGTCCCCCACTCCAGACCGCCCCCCCTTCAGGACAGGAACCGGGCCTCACTCGTCTTCATAGTCCCAGTCCCAGCCCCAGCATCCAGTGCCTAAGAGGAGCTCAATAAATATTTGTTGAATATCAGTAGCAACCGTTTATTGAGAAATTGCTATGTAGCCAGGCACAGGGCAAAGCAATTTACATGCATTATGCTTTTTGAACATAATTTCATGCAGTTTACATGTATTGTGCTATTAATGCTACATGGTGGGTCTACTTATGATTATCAGCCTCATTTTAGGGGGGAGGGTAATGAAACCCAGAGTGGCTGAGTCGTTTACCCAAGGAGGTCACGTAGCCAGTAAGTGGTAAGACGAGAATTTGATCCCAGATGGATGATCCCAGAGGGTACGAGGGAGGGTGCGAGAGGTCTGACCCCAAATAGCTTGAGCTTAATTGGTATGGAATGCTGAAATAAACAGCTCAGTCCTCACGAGAACCAGGAGGGAGGTGTGTTACATGTGGCAGAAAGCCAAGGCTCCTGAACACCAGGCGAGGGATCCAAGACTAAAACTTCCATCAAGTCCGTTCTTTTCCCTAACGCAGGTCAAGAATGAGACTTAGGAGAAGACACGAATGGGGCAGCTCTTAAGCCCGAGGCCCCAGCCTGCTGAGTCCCCTCTGGGGGGTGTGGATTGATGGGGATGAAGTAGTCTAGGGCAAATACCACTCAGACATCACTCGAATCACAAAACCTTGCCACACACGAAGGCTCTGCCTCCCACGGGTACTTTCCAGATCATCGGGGATGGGTTTGCTTCCCAGATCCTTGTCGGCGACGGTCCCCACTGGCCTGTCTTCCTTGGATTATGGTCAGCCAGTATGGCTTTCCCTATGATTCCATCACTCTTCCTCCTTGCATTCCCTTCATTTCCACGCTGTAAGTCAAAGACGCTCGTCTCTGTGAGGGAAACAAGACAAAAGCCGAGGCGGGCCTCCCTGACAGTCAGGCCTTCACTCCCAGAACTGCACTCATTTAAGGAAAACGTTGTAGTGTCCCCCAGCTATGGAGCCCAGCACTGATGTGGGGAGGTCCATGGGGTCTCCTTGAGGTGTTCGTTTGTTTATGTTTCTGCCATTTTGTACATGGTCTGAGGTTCTCCCAAAGGAAGCCCCTGGCCGTCAGAATCGAGTCTGGATCAGGAGATTTGATACCGGTCGAAGGCCCAGTTCATGGGTGCTCCTGCGTCACGATCCTGGGGAAGCTGGTGCAGGTGGAACCAAACCCAGGGTTGGGACTTGGGACTTGGGACTCCCGTTCTGCCTTTGGGACAGCTCAGAAGAGCTGGTTTCTGCCCTGTCACTCATCTGCTGCCTGATTTCTCGTCTCTCCTTCCTTGCTTCCATGCTTCCATTTGCTGAAAAAGACAAAAAAAAGAGCGATAGGGAGGGCGGGAAGTGAGGTGACATGTTTTTAGGCATCTCTGGTGGGCTAGGTACCTTTCAGACGAGCTACCTTTAGTCCTTAGATGATGGGACCGCATGCACGCATGTTGTATAAGCATGTGTGTGTGCAACAACGATTATTAAGACCAGGAGTGTAAGGGCACAGACTCCGGAGCCAGCCTACCTGGGGTAAAGGCCCAGCTGCACCATTTGCCAGCTGTGTGCCCTTGTGCAAGGGAAGTGCCCTGTGCCTCAGTCTTCTCACCTGTGAAATGGGCTGAGAAACTTCCTAACAACCTCATAAGAGAATTAATAGTGAACACTGGTGCAGCACTTAGAACAATGTCAGGCACTTTGTAAGTGCCAAGTGAGTGTTTGGTAAATGCATACAACAAAAATAAGCCAAACCTGATCAAAGAGCCCGAAAGGCAAATAGTACTGTCCCATTTTACAAAAGAGAGAACTGGGCTCTACGTTTAGCCATTTGCTCAGGAACTCCCGGTAACGTAGATGTTCAGATGGTTCTGTCTGACCTCTACAGTGTATAACCTCTCTGCACGGTCCCTGGGGGCAGGGCTGAGTGCCAGAGGCCTCTCCAGGGATGGTCCCACCCAGGGTCCCTAACTCAAACCACCATCCTTTCTTCCAGTGCTGGAGCCGGGAGGACCGGCTGCTTCATCGCCATCGACACCATGCTTGACATGGCCGAGAACGAAGGTGTGGTGGACATCTTCAACTGCGTGCGCGAGCTCCGGGCCCAGAGGGTCAACCTGGTGCAGACAGAGGTGGGTCCTGGGGGACAGAGCTGGCCAACCACCTGCAGTCCTGGCCTAGGAGAAGCCTGGTAGAGCAGAAAGACCCATGGGTGGTGGCATCCTCTAGAAAAGGATCTGGGTGTGGAAGAAATGGCAGCGAGCAAGACATCGTAGAAGCTAGGACGCCCCTACCAACTCCGCGGTGCCACAACTCAGGGACTTTCGCCAGTGAGGGAAGGTGGTGAGTTCCCCATCCCAGAGGGCATCCAAGCAGGGACTGAATGACCATGCTCAGGTGTGCTTTGAATGGTACCCCAGCCTTGGGTGAAGGAGAAGAGAGCTAGGGAAGGACTGGCATTTATTGAATGCCTGCTCCGTGCCCAGCATTGCTTCAGTCACTGCTTAATCAGGGAAGTTACTGAGTTCTAGAACTAGGTGCTGGAGATTCCAGGGAAGAGGACACACAGCCCCTGCCTGTGAGGGAGAAGTAGACCTTCAGCACCCCTCTGCCCAGCCAGAGAGCCCAGGACCTGAAGGAACGGGGAGGCTTTCACTGTTATTGCTGAGCACCTACTATGTGCAGGGCATCATGCTAGGTTCTTTGCATTCATGGGATTGTTTCTACTCCCTACAACAACCCTATGGGGTAAACCCTACTAGTACCCCACTTTACAGATGAAGAAACTGAGCACCTGTGTCCCCCGAGCCTCCCGTAGCCAGGTAATGGTAGCACTCAGATCCGCATGAGCTCAGGGGCCGGGCTCCTGCCCCTGAACCGTGCTCTCTCACCAGGCAGCCTCTCTGCCTGCCCTACCCTTGAGGCCAGGTGTGTCATTCCTGTAGCCAGCCCATCGTCTGGTTCCGGTGCAGGCTTTGGGTGCCGGGACAGCCAGGGCTGGGGCACGTCACCAACCCTGCCAAGGGAAACTGCCGTGGCTCTGGGCATGGCTGGTCACTCGCAGGCTTGGACGCATAGGACCCTGCTGCGGCCATGCACCAGCTCCCACAGGCTGCTCTGCAGGCTTCTTGGGAGCCGCTAACGCTGGGAGGCCGCTCCCTCTGTTCCCAGGGGTGTGCATGCGGGAGGCAGGCTCGCGGGCTCACGTTAGACACATTGCGGTCCTTGCTGTCTCATGGGAGAGACAGACATTCAAGCACATCATTGGTATGCGATGCGTCTAAATAAACATTTTATATAAAGAGATGGGCCAAGTTCTGCAGAAAACAGTCACTCAAGAAACCTTTGTTAAGGGCCTGGAAGTTACAGCACCAACTTCCTCGTGGTGAATTTAGAGAAGACTTTCCAGAGCAAATGAGACATTGAAGGCATGGAAAAGGGGGAATGGTGTCCAGGAGAAGAGAGCAGCGAGGTGCAAAGAACTGAGATGACCAAGAGGGTGCTGTCGCATGTTTTGGGAGCAGCCTGAGATAAGCAGTAGAGGGCAAGTGGTTTATACGGGAGGGGAATCCCAGGACACTGGCTGGTGGGAGCGAAGGGAAGGAGACCAAGCTTTCTTACCCTGTTAAAGTGTTTTACAAGCTGTTGGACACTGTGGACGCCTGGACCCCACCCTGGGAGCTCTGAGATAGTGTGGAACATGCTCTCCCAAGTGTCCCGCCTGGGAGGCAGGGTACTTAGGTCTGTGTCCTCCACCTCTTCACCTGGCGTTGCTGGTGGGTCCTATCTGGGGCACGAGCTCCTTGGCCCTGCTGGCTCGCCCTGCACACGGCTCAAGTGTGCCCTGGGACCACGGAAAAGCCCTCAGCGTGAATCCCAGGTATTTGCAATAAGCAGCCTTCAACCAGTCAAAGTGACAGCTGAGGGGACATGGGCAGGACACCTAGAGCACCTGCTGCAACAGGTCCACAAGTTGCTAATTTTTACCTGTGACTGTGCTGTTCAGTCTTACACAAGGGTCAAAACTCACCATAGCCCAGACCGTCACTAAAAAAAAAAAAAAAAAAAAAAAAAAAACTTGGAAACTTGGTCCTTCAGGTTATAGGATAGAAAGTAGTGATTGTGCAACATAAGTCACACCCATCCTTCATGGCCACAGGATGTGGACACCAAAGTCCAGGCCGCCATCCTAACCCGGTGCCCTGTTCCTCTGCCTTGGCACTGTAGGAGCAGTACGTGTTCGTGCACGATGCCATCCTGGAAGCGTGCCTCTGCGGCAACACGGCCATCCCCGTGTGCGAGTTCCGCTCTCTCTACTACAACATCAGCAGGCTGGACCCCCAGACCAACTCCAGCCAAATCAAAGACGAGTTTCAGGTAGGAACACATCCCAGGCTTGGTGACACAGCCAACTTCAGGGGCACGGAGCACCCTCGTGGGGTTTTCTTTGTGAGAACTGATATGTCCACGTGCTCCCGGAGTCTGCAGCCCTAGAGGCTGTAGAGCAAATTCCAGAACATAAAATGCACAACCACGAGCCACTCCGGACCCATCACTCAGGGATGCTGACGCTTGTGTTAACTATGACTGTGTTTCTGAACTGAGGGCATATTTAGTTCTTGGTCAGGCTGTCTGTGGAGACAAGCAAATATACACAGGTAGGTGTAAATTTCATGCTCCTCCGTCCCTGAAGAGAGTCAGCTTTTCTCACTATCCCTGTACAACTAGCGTGTACCCTCGATCCTCACTACTCAAAGTGGTGGAGTCTGGAGACCTGCAGCATCGGCTTCCCCTGGGAGCTTTAGGAATGCAGGATCTGGGGCCCCACCCACACCCACTGAACAGGCACCTGCAATTTAACAAGATCAGGGTGATTTATGTGCACGTTAAACTTTGAGAAGCACCCCCCTGGAGCGCAGCTCAGGCATGGCAACTCCGCACCTTGGAGCCCATGTGGTCAGAACGTTGGGAGCTTTGGCCCGGAGGCCTGCATGTGAATCACTGAGGTGCTTGACAGCCAGAGTCCAGCCCACTGTCCCCAGGTCAGTGCCAAGGTTAGAGCGGCCAACAGGGGCTGAGAGCAGGCAGGAGGAAGCAAGGAAGCTCCAGGACATGAGGGGCAAATACTGGGTCCATATGCTTCAGTGCCCTTTAAACCCGTAGATGTTGTTGATTCAGAGTAGAGACCGAATTTTGAAGTGAGGGGAGGGTGGAGGACACAGTCCCCTGGTGGTTGCACATAGCCTGTGGTGGAGTGTCTGGGCAGCTCAGTGCGGGCCCCCTAGTTGCAAGACTTACTCTGCAGAAGACATGCCCTAAAATTTTCCGACATATGAGAGCTTGGCCCCTGGGGTCTCTCTCCCATCCTAAGAAGCTCCTCCAAGCATCTTTCCATTCTCAGCTTTCTCTGAGAGGCACGCTGGTAAAACTCATTCCCCTCATTTGATCACAATTTAACACTCATCAGGGATTCCCTACCTCTGCCCCTGACCTTACTGCTTCCTGGCTAGGCCTCCCTTTAATGTAGGCTGGCTGAGATGAGCAGCTCAGCTCAAAGGGTTGGCAGGTGTTGGGAGCCTGTGTGGGCGCCTGCGTCCCCTGCAGCGTTGGCATCGGAGCGGTGTCACACAGGCCTTAGAAGAGGCTCTCAGCTCGCAGGGCCCAGAGAAGCGAGCAGATGATGACAGAACAGCACCGGAGAAGAGGAACAGCCCCGGTAAAGGCACCGGAGGGCCGGGCTTGGAGGATAGAGAAGTGGGATTAGGCTGAGTTTGAACATCACTGTCCTGTTCCGGGCAAGCATCCGAGCTGGGTCCATCTGTCCATCTTTGCGCCCCCCAGACCCTCAACATTGTGACACCCCACGTCCGACCTGAGGACTGCAGCATCGGGCTCCTGCCTCGGAACCACGATAAGAATCGGAGCATGGATGTCCTGCCTCTGGACCGCTGCCTGCCCTTCCTCATCTCAGTGGATGGAGAATCCAGCAACTACATCAATGCAGCGCTGATGGACGTAAGCTGAGCCCCGCCAGGGAACGCTCCTGCTGGCTTTGCATGGAGAAGCTTCCTTCCAGGGTGGAGGTGGCTAGACCCCAGGACCCTGACCACCTCCCCCAGGCAGTCTCTCCTCGCTTTCGATCTTGCTGCCCCCAAGGACCTTTGCTCCCCCTGAAGGCCTTTGTCCAAACCTATATATAAGGTGTGTTCTTGACTCATCTGCTCCCAAAAAGTCTTGAAAGAATTGACCAAAACCTTCAAGTAGCATCCACAACAGTTCAGCCTACCTAGTCCCTGCCCCTGCTGCCCACAGAGCTAACGCTCAGCCTTGAGTTCAGTGCAGGAAACATTCTACATACCAGGCCTTGGTTGGGCCCTGGGAACACAGGGTAGTGAAGATGTAGGTTCTGCCCTCCAGGAGCTCCCAGGCAGGTTCCCAGACAACTTCTGTGCAGAGGCAAGAATGAGGATGGCACCTAGGAGGTGCTCAGTAAATGCGGTGGGGGACAGCAAAGGGAGCGTGGAGGGAACGTGACTGTTCTGTTAGGGACACTTTCCCGGCATCGGGTACCCAACCCGACCTGGTTTGGGATTAGGGGTTTAGGTCCCTGCCCCAATGGGTTCACAACCCCGACTTGTATGGTTCTCCCCTGGGTCCCCCCGCTCCTTCCAGTTCTTGTCCCTGCACCTCTGGGATGTAGAGATGTTTGCATCAGGAAAGAACCAGAATTGTCTAGTTTCCTCCTTGTACTTTGCAGCACAGGAAATTGAGGCCATAGAAGGAAGGAGGCTTGCTGAAGGTCACCCAGAGACCTAGTAGAAACACCAGAACCCAGAACCCTGGCTCACACTCCGGAGTTCATTCACTGAGCCTCCCCATAGTTTACTCAGTCCTGTGGGGCTCAGGCATCTTGCCTCCCGATGCTCAGGATTGAGAACACTGTCGCTTGATTGAGGATGAGCCCTTCCAGGTCCCCTTCCCGACCACGTCTGAGGTCACCTCCATCCAGCCCATGAGAACCTCCAATCCCATCCAGAACAGGCAGAAACATGGGGTACTCTCTCCTGGGGTCAAGATCAACTATTTCTCTGACCTCTGAGCCTCCTGAAACTTTCTTTCCAAGAGTCTGAAGTGTTGGAGGCAGGGAGATGACAAGAGGCTTATCTCTGCTCTGTAGGGACCTGCCCTGACCTCTGCCCAGAGGGTACCCAAGTCTTCCATGGAAACCCTGGGTCCTCCAGCAGGGAGTCTGGTCAGAACAAATAGCTGGAAGTGGAGGGCAGACCTCTGGCTTTAGGTTAGAGTGTTCCAAGGTCAGGGCATGTAGATATGTATGTGTGCCTGTGTGCTTGTAGGTGTGTTTGTATGCATGTGTTTGTGTGTGTGTGGAGCCTGAGGGTGCACCCACACTTGCAGGTTCCTCCTAGCTTTGTCTTCCACTCCTCACAGCTCCCTCTCCCTGCCTCCCTCATCAGGGCAAGGATCAAACACGCTCCTGGCCTCCCACTTAGTAGGTTAGCTGCTGCCTGAAGTCAAATGCCTTCTGCCTAGCTCCGAGGCTGAGAGGACCCTTTTTGTCCACAGGGCATTTCTCCTGCGAGCCATCATTGGGGCCTTTGCCTTTCTTACAAACAACAAAAAAAAAATCCTTATCTGTATTCCAGCTCAGTCTGTGCATTATCTGGTAACCATGGCAGCTTTGCTCCCAGCAGAAAAATATGAAGTCCTCTGGGTTAATTTTTAATGTTTCCCTGGTAAAGGATGATGTTATCCATGAAATGGATTGCTAGCTGATCCCTGAAACCCGGCAGGAGCCACGGATCTCGAACATATTTTCAGATAAGGCTTTGTCAGGCATGCTGGCCTAATAGGGCATTTATCACAGGACAGGGAAACGGGAAGAAAACGAACACTATCTGAGTGCTGGGCACCATGGTGGGCCCAGGACTTATACTGCCTAGTTCCACATTTGGCTGTATTATTATCCCCATTTGGGGGATAACTACTGAGGGCCAGGGTATTTCCATCACTGCCTCTGTGTCAACTAGCTGAGAAACAATGGCATCAAGGGTCTGAACCCCAAGTTTTTGACTCTGAAAGCCTGGATTCTTTACCATAGAGGGATGTGGCCGAAAGACCTGCTGTTGGCAGCTAGAGTTTGGCTTTGGGGAAAGCTGTTTTGTCCTCCATTCCACTGGCCAGGGAAAGACCCTTAGAAGAAAGAAGGCCCTAGGGCATAGGTGGCATCCACAACTACTAGGCTTTCCCCACCTCCCCCACGACTGCACTGAGAGCCCACAGAACAGACGTGCTCTAGGTAATGTCTTTGGCAGGGTCTTTTCCAGGGTCTTCATCTGGTTTGGGTGGGTGAGCTCCTCTCCTCTCCCCATCTTCCTGCTGACTTGCGACTCCACCAGAAACAGCAGGGACCCCAACAGGAACCATCTCCCAAGAAAACGTGTTGCAAATACGGACTGTTTTCTCAGGTTTCACAAACCACCACTGAAGCAGAGAAGCTCCCCGGTCTTTCTAAACCTCCTCAGAGGGGACTGTGATACTTAGGTCCCCGTCGAAGCTTCAGATGTAGTCTGACATACATAGGCCATTTTCTCTGGACCTCAGTTTCCCCATCTAAGTACAGGACCGGATTTGTTTGTGTGCTAGACGTCTTCTGGGCGTCAAGGGTGCCAGCCACCATGCCTGCGCCAAGGATGAAGAACCAAGCCAGGGGTCCATCTGCCCTGACAGTGGACGCACAGCTTGGTTCCTGCTTGCAGATCTCATTCCATTGTCTCTTTGGAGTTACAGTTCCCATTTTCCAGATCAAGAACCTGAGATCTGGAGAAATCTAATAACTTGCTAGTGCTTAGCACCAGGAACAAAAAAAAATTCCCTTTTCAAATGGTGCTTGAACGAATGGATGGATGGGTGCATGAATGACTGGCTGGAGGATGGGCTTATGTAGAAGTGGGAAAGCTGGGTTTGAACCCAGGACTGCCTGACTCTAAAACCAGGGCACCTTTCATGGCCCCGCTGGCTCACAGGGCACATTGTCCTTCTTCCACTGGGTCAGCTCAGCCCTCACCCAGCCTTGGGGCAGGAGTGAGCCTCCTGCAACATAAGGCCCATCAGGAGGCGCTCCCTGCCTCGGGCTGAGCCGGCCCCTCCTGCAGCTTTGTGGGCAAAGGAACACAAGATACCCCTTTTTATCCCAGGAGGAACCTTGGCCAGCAGAGTGGCAAATCTGCATCCAGAATCTTTCATTTCATATTGTAATGATGATTATTTGCTGAGCTCCAAGACACAAATAATTTATTTGGATAATCCCTGTCTGAGTGACACTTTCCTAATGAAATGTCTTAGTTTGGAGGAGAATGAGTTCATTATGAGACGGTCCCCTTTGCTGCCAGGGCACCCAGAGATAACAGAACGGCCAGGTGCTTTGTGTAATCTATTTGGCAGGCTCGGGGGCCGCTGGCAGCCACCCGGGCTGCATCAGCATCAGAACCTCGCTGATGGATGTACATTTTACGAAGCCTGTGTCGTTCCTTTGTCAGAGCCACAAGCAGCCTGCCGCCTTCGTGGTCACGCAGCACCCGCTACCCAACACCGTGGCGGACTTCTGGAGGCTGGTGTTTGATTATAACTGCTCCTCCGTGGTGATGCTGAATGAGCTGGACACAGCCCAGGTAGGTGGAGGCCCGGCCGCTGCCCTTGGCGGTCAGGTGCGTTAGGGCAGCTGTGCCGACAGTTGGCGGGAGAGCCCTGAGACCCAGCAGAGCGCCGCCCCTGCCCAACCAAGTGGCTGTCTGATGGGCCCTGAGGCTGTGGGCCCCAAGCGGGCCCATGGAGCTTCTGGCAAAGGCCGGGCATCTCCCAGCAGGCCCCGCCCCTGCAGGGCCCTCCCTATCCCAGCGTGGACTCACCCTTGCGATGGGCTTTGCCTGCCCAGCTCCAGATTCGTGGTCAAAACCATGCAGAGCTCACAGATGAGACTGCGGCCCCAGCCCCACAGACCATCCTGGTGCCTGGCCACCCCCACCCACCTGGCTCCCTCCACGGTGCAACCTGTGCGGACAGAGCCGGGGGCTTGAACCTTGGACCCTCTGTCCACAGACCAGCAAACCGAGCCCTGGCTTCGTCACAGGTGACCCCCAAGTCCAGCAGGCTTCATGCCTTAGCCCCTCTAGGTCTGACAGCTCCAAGCACCATGTGCTTACAACACATTCCTGTGCTCACAACACAGGACACATGTCATGGGACAGCTCCTGGAACCCACGTCCCCATGGCAGGGCAGCCATGCCTGGGTAGAGGAGGTGAGAAGGGCCTTCCAGGTTTTTGAAAAGCAGTCCTTTCACTGCCTTGGAGGAAACTCAGATAGCGCAGCGCACTCCTGTGTGAGCGTGGGCCTTGCGTGGGGATAGCATAAAAGTGGATCTGAGCTCTAGTCTCAGCCCTCCAGGAGCTCCCAGTCTGGCTGCGGAGACAGATGAGCAAACTGTCTCCACCGTGGGCGGCACTGTAATAGAGGTCAGCCGCCAAGCGCTGTGCGGGCAGGGAACAGGGAGCAATTAATTCTGGCCACAGGGCGAGGGGAGGCTTCACAAAGAAGGTGACTTTGGCCTTGAAGAAGGCAGCAGGGATTTGGTGGGGGGTGTGGGGGGGGGGGGGGTGCAGTAGCTGGGAAAGGCCGTTCCAGGCAGAGGGAACAGCAGGGCAGACACAGGGCGGGCTGAGTGCGTGCAGCTTGTCTGCAGAACAGCTGGGTGCAGCGAGGCTGGGCCCGGCCTGTGTCGGCAGGAGGAGTGGTGACGAAGCCTGCGGAGGGCTGCCCGTGCCGGGCTAAGGAGCATGGTAAGTCAGTTGGTTTGTTTTTTAAGACGTTTATTTTGTACACAACAGAACCCTCTTTTCAAATAAAAGTTTTTACATAAGCCCAATATACGAAGGAGGTATGACTGAGACCTGCTAGCCTTGAAGTTGGGGGGACAGATCTAGCACTTCATTCACCTGGACTCTTGGGTCCTCCTGGTGCCTCTCGGAGAGTCACCTATGCTGGGTGCCTTGATGGAACCCCTCGGGTTCCTAGGAGCACAGCTCAAAAACACTACAGGGAGGAGAGATATTGAAGAGGTTGCTCAGGGGTGTGACAGAGTTCCTGTCAGAAAGCTGAGCTAGGGGCCCATGAGGAGAAAAAGCTGGACGAAGAACCTGGAAACTGGGGGACTGGGGTGGAGAGTGTTGCAAATGTGCAGAAAGTACAGGGATGATCTGACTGAGGAGCTGACCAGGACACAGGAGGTTCGGGGTTGGATGTGAAAATGCTGCCAGAGTTAAAGTCCCCGGGGTTAGGGACCTGCCGGATGTAGAAGGTGAATGAGAAAGGGAAGTCCTGGACGGTGGCAGGGGTTCCGTCGGGGGCAATCAGGCACATGGGGCCTCCGCCAGCCCAGATGGGGTAGCGGGGAGAAGGGGCCGCCCGGAGAGGGACCAGGAGGGCTGGGGAGGCCGGAAGAGGAGCAGGTTACAGAAGGCGAAACCAAGTGCAACATGGGTTGGGTATGCATGTGAGAGACGTTCCGGACAGATTCCGCCTGTTCAGCCTCGCTTGCTGAGTAGATGTTTTTCGCCAGAAACTGTTCTAGGTGCTGGAAGGTATCAGTCGACAAGCAGGGAAAGCAAACAGAAAACGCCCATCTCCCATGCAACTTCTATTCTAAGGCGGGGAGACAACAAACACCACACACTCTAGTGTCCTAAGTTGCATGTTAGCAGGTGACAAGTGCATGGGAGAAGAAAAATAAGGGGACGGCGTGATGAAGATCGGAAAGCCGGTCTGGGGAACGGGATGCAGCTGGTCAAGGCAGGTCCAATTGAGGTCGCATCTGAGCGCAGGCTTGGAGGACGCGAGAAAACCGGCCACGTGAGCATCTCAGGGAAGGCATCCCAGGCTGAGGGGCCAGCCCACACCAAGGCCTTGTGGTGGCACGGCCTGGCCCATTTGAGGGACAGCTTGGAGGCCACGGAGTGGAGCGGGGTGAGTGTGGCGACAGCAGCACCAGAACCAGGTCCTGGAGGGCCTTGGTGGGAGGTTAGGGGAGTTATAGGAGGAACTTCAGCTTTTGCTTGGAGAGAAACAAGGAGCCGTTGGCAGGTTTTGAAAAGAGGAGTAACTTGAAAAAGTAATTCAACTCTTTTTAAAAAGCACTCCTCTAGCTTCTGCGTTAAGAATAGACTGTTGGTGTGGGGAGGAGGAGGGTGGTTGCTAAGAGGGGAAGCAGAGAGGACAGAAGCAGGGCTTTGGCAGTAATGCAGGTGACAGAAGACGGTGGCCTGAACCCAGGCAGTAGCAACGGAGTGGATTCTGGGTCTATAAAGTGACCCAACAACATATCTTGGCTGGTTAAATATGGAAAGTGAGAAAAGAAAGGAAGACTTCAAGCGCTGGGCTCAAACAACAGATGGTCGAAATCTGAAATAAACATGAAATTAAGTGGCTTTCCATAAAACAAAGACCCTTGCAGAGCTGTCAGAAGGCATCGCTGCCCTGTTTCCCTGGCTGGGGAAGTAAAACAGTGAGCAAACGCTGCCCCGTGAGCCCTTGAGCAAAGCAGAGCCAATGAAAGCTGCTTTGCTGTTCCCTGCTTCCAACATCCCTCTTTTGCAAAACCAGAGCTCAGGCACAGAGGAGGCTTTTCAAAGAGTCTCCTCTTTGGGACACAGAAAAACAAAGGTCAAGGTCATTGTCTGTAGCTTACCCTTTCAGGGTGGGTCCTGGGAGAATGAAGATCTTTCAGCCCCAGATGTTGGTATAGCCTTTGAGAGTTGATTCTCTAAATGCAAAAACATCAGGCTCAGACGTTCCCCAAGGTTGGCTGTCATGTGCAGCTGGCAAGCATCCCCTGAAATCGGCAGATGAATAGAGCGCTTACTGATATAAATATCATCCCCACAACAGCTGGGCACCTTGTGAAAATAAACAATGGCACAGCGCAAGCATCCGAAAAGCCGCCCTCAGCACCTGGAGGGGTGGTTCTTTAAAGCGGCATCTGCATTTGTCTGCCAGGGTGCCCATGCCAAGGCAGCCACAGCTTCAGCCAGCGCGGCGACACCACGGGTCAGCCCCAGGTCCCAAGCTCATTCAGTTGCTCCCAAGAGGACCAATGCCACATCCTGAGGTTTGACTGGGGACTATAAGGGCTCATGTTGGTGGCGTGGCTGGGCTACCTATAAGGTGCAATAAATAAGGCTGTACTGCTGGCCATATCTGTCTGCCTCTGCATAGAATCCTATACTGTTTCATTCAATCAGCTGTCCCCAGCCACAGATATTCTTCCATTCTCCACAGTGGCTGCCATCCAAAATAATCATGAGCAGTGGGGGCTCAAAATAAAGACTCCCAAAGCAACCACATGCAGCCTTAGAGACTTTTCTAGCTCTATGCGAAACCAAAGGCCTGCAGCCAGATTAATGGGGCAAGCTCCTAGAACCACAGCATTCTGCCAACCACACTATGGTTTCTGATAGGCACACCAGAAGGAACCTTAGCTTTAGCAAGACCTTGCCCATCTTGGTGGGCTCTATGTTGAGACCAGAGTCTGGAGGTAGGAGGATAGAAAGTAAAAGGAAGCCCTCATCATGGTTGTGCCATACCCACCACGTTGTTTAGAAAGCTCAGGAGACCCTCGATGGCCCCCAAAGATGTCCACTTCCTAACCCCTAAACCTATGACTGTGTTACCTGATGTGGTAAAAGGGGCTCTGCAGATGTGACAAAGTCAAGCATCTTGAAGTGTGTAGATTGTCCTGGGTTATGCAGGTGAGCCCGTTATCTGGGTATTAGGGTCCTTCAAAGAGGAAGGGAGGAGACTCAGTGTCAGCGGGAGGCCATGTGACAACAGAAGCAAAAACTGGAGTGTTCTCCAAACACCGTCACTATTTCCCATCTTCCCTCCATGGGCCTGCTATTTTGAAAGTTTTGTTTTCCAAACTGTGTTCACCAATTAATATTAGTGTTCTCGAACGTTTTCCATATACATAACGGCCCCAGTGAACTTCTGATCTGCAGATTGTGTGCAGAGCTAATAAATACAATGAGATACTCTAGTTGTAGCCCAGAGCCAGACACTCGGTGTCCTCTGCTCCAGGAGCAGGATCCCCTTTTAAAGATTTTGGAGATAGCCCATTGGCTCCTCCTGCCAACTTTACAGACCCCACTTTGGAAACCACTGATCAGACCCCAGTCCACTTGCCCGGTTGGAGATCAGGAGGCTGAGGCCCAGGCAGCGGGAAGGATCTGTCCAAAGTCCCATGGCCCACCACTGACTGAGCCCGGGTCTCCTGCCAGGGATGGTGGGGACTTCTGCTGCCACTTAAACAGCAGGAACTCCGGAGTCCAGTGCCCAATAAACACTGACTTGCTGGTACCTGGGTATATGGAGCAGGGAGGACTGTTCCTTAGTTTACAAGCTGAGTTGCCCAGTTCTGAGGCTCCCGCCATGGGAAGTGGAAAAGTTCGGGGGATGCGAAGCCGGTAGAAAGGTGAGGGGCCGGGGGCAGAACCAAGAAAGATGCATTCCCACGTTGTTGCTGGAAGTGAGAGAAGCAAGCTCGTCATCCTCCTAGGAGAAAAGCGAGGGTGATATATCAGAGGTGCCTTTTCCTGTCATTGTGCCTGCAGGGCGAATAGTGACATCTATATCCCCATTTTTATCTCGCTTTGTGAAAGCACAGCCTACTGTGCTGGCAAGACACACAGACGCCTCAGGTCTGACTCTGCAGGGGCCTGCGTTTCTGTCTCTGCCCACCCTGAGACAGGAGACGTAATAGTGGCATAAAAAGTCTGGAGCTGAGAGATCTGGGTTCAGGTTCTAGCCTTGCCCCCTACTTGCTCTGTTGTCTTAGGCATTTCTTGTCCAATTCTCACTGTTATCATCTATAAATCCAAGTAACCATGATGCCAGCCAAGTTCACTCTGTCTCTGAAGATTTAAATAAAATGGACTCTTTCTCCTGTGTCCCACCCTGTGGGGACACTCATGGCCCACCCCCAAGATTTCCCAGGAGTCCTGTTTTCACATTCACTTCCGAGTTCCAGCTCAGGCTTTACTGGGGACAACGCAAAGTGCCACATCCCAGAAATGTTCTCAGACTTCACCGGAGGGTGACAGCATGTCCACCCGCCCTCCCGCCCAGACCACTTTCTTCCTCTCCCTCTACTTTTTCTGCCACCCCACCCTTCTTAGGTCTTTCTCCTCCTCCCCCCAATTGTTCCTTTCTTAAGTTGCATAATTCAGCCATCTCTTCCATACCTGCTTCTAAAACCCACTCTGAGCCTATGCCTTCCACCCACCCTACCTTCCCCTGTGGATATTCTCCTAAACTCCCAGCCGTCCTTCTGGGAAACGCACCGGGACGCAGCTGTCATAAGTCCGTCCCCGCCCCTTCATGGAGATGGCATTGCTCACCCTGTGAGGCTACGGAGAGCTGGGCGGAGGAGAGGCGCGCGAATTGCCTCTCTCTGTCCCTGGCTTTGTGCCCACGGCTTCACCTGCCATCTGTCTTCCTTAACTGGCCGCAGCAGTAAAGCCAATTATATGTTTTGTGCTCTTTATTGAATATATTTAAAGGAATCTTATAACCACTGACCTGAAATTTAAAACCAATTCAGGTGGCTCTTTCCTATTTTTCTCTTAAAAATACCAATTCACTTCATCTTTGGGTGGCTTGGGATTGCTCCTCCGCCCCACTCTGTGAGTCAGACCTTCACAAGTAGAGTCCTTCATTTCTGCAGCTGTACTGTTCCTTAGCTTTTCCGTTTATCAAAGGATTATTTACTTAACAAAAGGCATAACTAAGGTGCATGGAAATGCACTTTAAAATTGTTTACTCCCCAAACAGGCCATATGCTAGTCTTCATTCAGCACATCAGAGCATGTTTATTACAGCGACTAACAAGCTTTCTGATTCCATCAGGGGAAAAAAAATGGTTAACAACGGAGCTAAGGAACTTGCCCCTTTCACAGCAAAACAGCTATGGAGACCACTTGGTGTAACAATGTAAGACAGCTGTTCTGGACTGTCCGCATGGGCTTCACGACTTCCACTTGGTTTAACTTGTTCTAACAACAAATAACAAAGGCCACTATTCTTCTCTGGAAGAAGCATGGCCATTTCTAAGTGGGCAGCTGCAACTGGACCACCCCCGACCCTGCATGGCCCTCAGCACTGCCTCTGTGTATGTGCAGCCAGAGAGCCGCTGGGACAGGCGCCGCCCCTCCTCAGGCTGTGGGGTAGGAAGGTAGAGTGCTGGGCCGTGAGGTGGGAGAAGGCTGTTGGCTCAGGCTCGGGCTCAAGGATTTGCCTCAGTTCTTACAGAGAGCCGTCTCAACAGTTTCCCATCTAAGGCAGAAAATACCAAAGTTGTGTTGAGGGTATGTGTGGCCCCACATCAGCTGGGACCTCCTGGTCTTAGAGAGTCAAGTGGGCTTGTTTGAAAACCCCATTTTCAGGGTTTAAGAAACTAAGTCCCCAACCCCAAGATTTCTGTAAAGCGCGTGGCCCCGATCACGTGTCCCTGGTCTGGCCCCTCAGACTGCATATGTCACCTCTGCTCTGTTTCTATATCACCCAGGGAGCAAAGCGCAGTTCCTCGCTGGCTTCCACAAGAAATCCATGCAAACTGAGCACTGGGCACATTTTTATAAATTTACTGAATATTTAGTGGGGGGATCACATGATAGATTGATTCACTTCTGACCATTTTACTGGTTCTATCAACAGATTGATTTCACTTTTGACCATTTCACTGGTTCTGCCACATCCCAACCTCCCTCTCCCATCTCCTGGGTACCCCCAAAACAACCCACAGGTGTTTCTCCTTTGACATGCAGAACAGTGTCCCACTGATTCCCCAAGCCGGCTGATCAGGAATTTTCACAGCAAGGGCAGTCCTTTCAGTATTATCCTAAAGGGAAATTATCATAAGAGCTCCTAAGTGCAGAGGAAAAAAATACTTCATTTTATCCATCTTGCCTGAGTGACCCTATCCCACATTGCCTAATTATAGCTCACATTTACTGAGTGTTCATTACTTATGGATCCCTGTGCTAAGCAGACACATTAAGACTCACAGCCATTCATAACTCAGAGAAGCTAAAAGATTTGGCCAAGTCACTCAGCTAGAAAGTGACAGGGCTGGGATTTGAACCCAGAGCACTTCAAGTAGGAGCCCTTTTCCTACACTGCATACACAGGCAAAATGGTGGCGCCCATCAAGGCACAGCAGTGCCTGGACACCAGCGCACAGCCTTCAACTAAATTATAGAGGACATTTCCTATTGATGAGAATCCTTTCTAAGTGCCACAGGCTCACTGGGAACACTTGGCTCCCGCCTTCCTCTGCCTGTTCCCCATGACTTGGATTGTGTGTGATGTCCTGAGCTGTGGGGAAGACCCTGATGATCCTGAGGCAGCTCACACACCACATATGCCCACACGTCATCTGGCTGAATGTCGCCCACACTGTTGCTAATGTGAGCTCACAAATTAGGAAACTTGGTGAAAGGGTGGCTCTGACTTAGGATTGGAAGGGCACTGCAAACTTCCCCAACCCTCTGGGCATTACGGGAGAGTGAGCTGGAAAATCAAAGGCAGAGAAGTATCCCAAAGATGGGAGTCTTGTTTGAGGCATAGTGGAACCTGTTAGCTTGAGAAATTGGTCTGGAAATCTTATTAAAAGAGACAAGTCATCCCACATTCTCTCCAGGCTGAAAATACCAGGAGCGATAGACTTTCCTTGGTGCCTTGGACCTCTGTACCTGACATCAGGATCACATCCAACCTCTGGCAAAGCTAAATCCAATGCAAGTGATAAAGGCAATTTTTTTTTTTTAATGGGCAGTTCTGATAATTCCGATTTCTCTTGCCAGCGCAGACTTATCAGTCCCAGGCCCTCATTACTAGAAGGTGTATAAGGCAGAAGGGCCAATGGCAAAGAGAAATGAAGTTCAAATTGTGGATTTGTCATTACTGCACAGCTCAGCAGATGACTGCCCAGCCACAGCCCCTTTGACCAGCCAGCCAGCCAGCCCCCCCACCACACACACACTAGTATGCTCAATTAAGCCCCTAAGGAGGTGCCAAGAAAGCAAGCACCATTGCATTATGAAACTTAACCGTGCACATCTTTCCTATTTGAGGTGAGTGACAAAGAGAACCTTTCAACTTCAGATGTTAGGTATTATCATAATTGTTTTTATTTTGGTTGAGCTCTGAGAGGTTCAATAATACTATGAATCACTGGGATTTAGTGGCACTGTGCTAAGGACTTTGTTCACATGCATCATGCCCTTTATCCCCAGAACAAGCCAATAATGCAGGAGCCAGCCAATCTCCTCTGCGAAGGACAAGATAGGAAATATTTTAGGTTTTGCAGGTTACGTGGTCTCTGTCGCAACTACTCAGCTCTGTTGTTGTAGTTTGAAAGCAACCACAGACAATACATACATGGATTAGTACAGTGGTGTGTCGATAACACCTTACTTACAGAATCAGGTGCTGGCCAGGTTTGGCCTGTGGGCCATAGTGTGTGCAGTGTTATCCCTAAGCCAGAACATGGGTTCCACAGCTAGGAAGGCGGCAGATATGTGCTCTTCTCTCTCCTACAGCCTCTCTCCTGGATTTTCCACCCTGGCTCTAGTTCTAGAGGAAGGATAGAATAAAAGACACTTGCATGTGACTGCCTAGGGTGAGCTAGCTGCTCGCTCTCAACAAAAGGGACCCCGATCACTTTCATGAAAATCCTGTATCCATGGCGGCCATGAGGAGACCTCTGAATTTCCATGACTCACCTTTGACAATCTAACTCCTTGTCTCCAAGCTCAGTGTAGGCTGTGGCAGACCCCGCCAACGAAGGAATCGATCCCCAGCTGACCTCAGAGGCCTCAGTGGGTCTTGTGAATCTCATCTCCACCCTCTGGAGGGTCTTCCTACCTCGTGGCCTTTGCGTCCATGCTGGTGGTCCCCAACAAGCTTGCAGCCCCCATCTTACTTAGTTCTCTTCCGTGCCTCAGTGCTGAGGCCTGCAGACCTGGACAGGGTGCATCTCCATGCCCCTTGGGGACCAGGAATTCGAGGAAGCACGTTGGCCCTCCTTTGAGCCATAATCCCCGCCAACTGCCTCAATGGTCTTTCTCCAACTCAAGTCATCTAGTGGCTCAGCAAATACAGGAGAATAAAGTGTCTCTCTCTCTCTTTCTTGATGAGACTATAAACCTAAGGAACAATTCATGATATTAGGCCATGGTTTCTCAGTCTTTGCACTACTGATATTTGGGGCCAGATTACTGGGGTGGAGGCAAGGATGCTCGTGGTGGAGGATATTTAGCAGCATCCTGGCCTCTACTCACTAGATACCCATAGCAACCACCAGGTATGACAATCAAAGATGTCTCCAGACTGCGAAATGTCTCCAGATGACAAAAGAGCCTCTGGCTGAGACATTGTCTTAGGTTGAGGGGCAATCATTGCTTTTGCTCACAGCTGTAGGATCTAATTTGCAATTCCAGGAAAATAGGAAAGATTACAGGCAAGATCTCTCAATACCATGTTACAGCACCTTTTGGTGCAAGGTAAGCACAATGATCCCCATTGTACATGTGAGGAAATAGGGGCCCAGGTCACACACATAGTAAGGAGCTGGATTTGGACCCTAGCCTATCTGATGCCAAAGTGTATAAATGTTTACTCTAAAACTGTCTATGATCTGATCGTGAAATGAACATTGTGAAGGTTTTCCTGGAATGGGGAAGAGTTTGCCAGGATCCACATTAGTGAAAAAAAAATTGAGATTTTACCTGCCCTTCCCTCAGAGTGTTCTATCTAATCCTGTCAGCAGCGCTTCAAGATAAATAGTATTCTCCCCATTTTACAGATGAGGACAGAGAGGCTCAGCAAGGCTAACAAATGCTGTGAAGTCAGCATAGCCAAGTGTCTCTGTATTCAGAGTTTTGACTTTTCAACAACTCCCCCAAAATGGAGGGGCTGTTCCCCAGGAGGGAAGTGGAGTCTAATCCCCTACATGCTACCCTATATGTCTAACCAGTGTGTTCTGCAGACAATAGAAAAGGCTCACTGATAAGAGACTAATGCCCTTCCCACCCCGTCCTTGGCTCTCCCGGTGCCCTCCTTCCCAGCTCTGCATGCAGTACTGGCCTGAGAAGACCTCGGGGTGCTACGGGCCCATCCAGGTGGAGTTCGTCTCTGCAGACATCGACGAGGACATCATCCACAGGATATTCCGCATCTGCAACATGGCTCGGGTAAGTGGACGGCCGTCACTGCTTCCAATGCGCCAACTCCCTCCCCTCCCCCAAACAGATGGAGGCTGCCGGGAGAGGAGGCTTCCCGCCAGCCAGGAGCCTGTGCTGAGCTCTCCCGTCATCTCCTCCTCGGGATAGCGATGCTGCTGCCGATTACGGCTCCGGATCCAGCCACGGCTCCGACACGCAGACGCACGGGGCGACATCCCGCCTGCCATCTGCCTGTTTCCTGACACACTTGCTGCCGTGTAGACAAAACTTCTGAGAAATTAGCGCTTTCCCACTGTGTCACGCTGTTTTGGCATGAGTCGATGCAGCCTTTGATTGGCTTCAGCAAGCTTTGGGCTAGACCCTGGGAACCACACCAAAATGAAAAATTGTTGCTTCCAAGAGGAAATTCACTGGCTGGGTGGAGGAATATTGAGGGGGAAGGAGCAGATTAGTGAGCTATGAAATGATGGCTGTTTAAAGTGCCTTTGGTCTTGACTGTGGCCCAGGGTGAACAGAACTCAGTCCCTGATCTCAGAATTCACTATCTAATGAGAAGGTGACACACATTCTGGCACATGAACCTCAGGGAGAGAGATGAATTCTGCCTGGTAGAGTTAGGGAAAGCTTTTCCTAAAGAATGGGACATTTGAATTGGGTTTTGGAAACTAAGTAGGAGTTTTCCAGGTTGAGAGGGGGCACCGGACAGTTATGGCAGGAGAATCAGTGTGCCCAAAGGTATAGAGGTGAGTAAGGAGAGTGTCTGTGACTCGCCCGTGATAACATGGCTTAGACCTCATTTAATGTGCCTTCCACTGCAATATTGCCACCCCCAAGAGGGCTGGTGTGCCCAGATCCCCAGCAAAACAGCCCTAACGGACCCTCTGTTCTCAGCCACAGGATGGGTATCGTATAGTCCAGCACCTTCAGTACATTGGCTGGCCTGCCTACCGGGACACGCCCCCCTCCAAGCGCTCTCTGCTCAAGGTGGTCCGGCGGCTGGAGAAGTGGCAGGAGCAGTACGACGGGCGGGAGGGACGCACGGTGGTCCACTGCCTGTGAGTACTGCACCCTGGAGGGGTCTCCGGGGACACAGGGCGATGGGTGGCCTAGGCCTGCCTGGCTGTACCACATCTCAACATCTCTTACAGCCCGATGGGGGTGTATTCAAGGAATTACACTCCTTTAATGGACTGGGGATGCCAGTGTGTTGCCCTGAACTAATGTTATATGATATATTCATTGACGCAAAACCTGGTGGCCTTTCCACAAACAGGGTAGGCAGACCACACCGCGATGCTCCCAAGAAGGAGATAAGCCCCATCCTCCAACAGGAGACACGATGTTTCCTGCCAGCCACAAGAAAGCTCAGGAACATGAGGGCCACTAAGCAGATCCTCCTCTATTATTTCCTGAAGGAGAAAAAGAAAAAAGGGGAGAGGGTTAATGAAGGGAGCTTAATGCCAAGCAATTAAAACAAATCACCTCATTCCATCTATGAGGTAGATTTTATTGTGTTACTGTGAGGAAATTGGGGCACAGACAGGATAAGGCATCAAGCAGTTGAGAGAGGAGCTTTGACTAGAATCCGCTGGCCCCACAGTTAACGTACTGTCCATTAACCCACACTGCCTCTTGGCCACCCAAGGGGCTCGTCGCCCGAGTCCAGGACACTTCTTCCCAGGGCACAGTGGGCTCGGGTCAGCCGCGTTTATACTTCCATTACAGGGCGAAATGGAACCTTCACCTCCTGTCTTAGGACAGGCAGAACTGGGCACGGGGATTCCCAGCCAAACAGACCCTAATGTCATTACACAGGGTGACAGTCAGGACCCTCAGAGGACTGTGGCTGACAAGCTATCACCAAGGAAATCACTCAGTTTTGTGAGTCTCAGTTTCCTCAGCTGTCCAATGGGCATGTTGAATTAGGTCATCTTAAGACCCTGTGGTGCTTCGAAATATTTAGAAAATATACACAATTTATCTACCAACATACACATCTATGATATCATGGTAGCAAATATGCAAATGTTCTAAATGTAGTTGCTCCAAAGAGCTTCTGTCAGAGTCCCTCATAGGAGTATAAAGTGATCTCAGAGAAGGATCCTACAGAGACCTCAGAGCCATAACAGCTGGGTGTGGAACATTTGATTGGCTGTCATTCAATCTGCCTCTTGGACATTAAAATCTTTTGGGGAGACATGACTGAGAGGGCCTGCCTCTTTTAAAATGTTATGTTGAAGGCAGATTGGACCAGTGTCTTCCCTTCTCCAAAATAAGTATTTGTGGAGCTAGTGGAGGCATTACCACCACCTAGTAACCTCAGAACCGAGTTGTCTTTTCAAAACCAGCTTACTGTTCTCTTCTTTCAAAAAGGTGGTACACACACGTCAGAAAAATCAGAAAGCTTAAAGGGAAGTTAAACACACATGCATAAGAGCCAACATCTGTAGCGATACCTTTCCCAAAGGGTGCAGACTGCAGACTGGAACCCGGAAAGATGTCGTGATGGGTCTCATGTCACATTGGTGGGTGACATCAGCCAAGCTGAGCTGGCTCTGCCCCCATCCCGGAAACTGGCAGCTGGTTCACCTGCCACACACTCAGGTGGCCTCCCCTTTACCACAGAGCCACACTGGCCCTGTCAGGGTCTCGCTCCACTGGGCCTGATGCACCTGTGTCTACCTACCTCTTCCTTTTGGACTCTGCTCTTCTTGCTCCAGAAAATATTAGACTCCTTGCTGGGGGTCCCTTCCTACTCTTTGCCATGTGGTTGGTTTTCAGCCTGCTCTTTGGCAGGCATACCTTTTATCCATGTCTCCCACAGCCAAGGTGACCAGCAGTTTGAACCAAAGGAAAGCACAGGGACATCCTTCTATCAACAGGGACCTTGGCATCCCTGGGGGCCAGGGACACCAAAGCAGACACTGAAGTACAGGTGCTGGCCAGTGGCTGAAGGGCAACCATCTTTACTGGAAACATCTGGTTATTGGATGTCCTGTAGAGAAAACATCTGGGAGATTGACTGAATACCTTAGTTTCTGCCCAGATGTTCTTTCGACACAGACCATTACGTGAAATCATTAGTTTCTCTTGGCAACACACCCAGGAGTTCCAAATCCGGCAGACTCCAAAGGGGACTTTCTATACAGTTGGACGGTGCTTCCACAAAGATGACTGTGGGGCACCAGAAAGAAGGAGTGACGGGGAGGTGACCCTGCCAGGAGCCCTCCATCTCTCCTCCCCACATCTGCGGGGTCTTGCTGAAACCAGGGTATACAAATAGGGTCTTGTCATTTCAGGACACAATATCCCAGGCCCACCTAAGCCACGCCCCCCCAACAAAAAAAAGCCTAGGCCAGCTGACACTAGGCTAAGAGATATGTCTCTGGTATTACTTAGTGGGTGGGAAAAACTCAGAGGAAAATCACATGCAACCTTCCATTGTCTTCACTGGATGTGTAGGTGGACACAGAGCATCATTTTGGACAAGGATGCAGGCATGTATATAAAGACACTGTCTGGCCTGAAGGCTCGGGTCAGTGTGCCATGGGTGACTATAACATGCTCATAGGAGCAAGGAAGCATCAAACTCATTGAACTCTCAAAGGTCATCTAGTCCAACCCCTCCATTATATGAATGGGAAAACTTGGGGCTCAGACCCAGAGAGTGACTTACCCAAGGTCAAAGCAGGTGCGTGGCACAGATGGGACTCAAACCATGACACGTGGCTCAGGTGGAGGCTTTCGCCATTGCCTCGCCTTGCCAACTGCCAGACAGCCACTCCCCACCACTGCTGATGTGGCTTTAGGATCAGCTGGTGGGGTTCCCAGGACTCCAGCTCACCTCTTCGCTCTGTGTTTAGAAACGGGGGAGGCCGCAGCGGAACCTTCTGTGCCATCTGCAGTGTGTGTGAGATGATCCAGCAGCAAAACATCATCGACGTGTTCCATATCGTGAAAACACTGCGTAACAACAAGTCCAACATGGTGGAGACCCTGGTGAGTGTTCCGAGAACTATCTGCCAACAGTCTGGGAAAGACCCTCGTTCCCTTGACCTGAGGGGAATAGCATCAAATAGCAAAGACGCTCAATGACCGGACGCTGACTGAGCACCCATGATCCACATCCTTGGCACACACTGCGGTCTGCTGCTCCCCTCCCTCCCAGCCTCACCAACTCCTCTCGCCTGCAGGGCAGTCCAAATACTAACCCTGGTCCACCCTACTTTGTTTTCTGCACATTCTTTAGAAAAATATCACTAATTCGGGCTGAGCAGAAAGAGTTCTGGATTAGGAGAGTGTGGATTATGTTTTCAATTCAGTCCGATCCTACTCTAATGACCTTATGCTGATTTTTACAGTGTCGAGCATTGGGGTAGGACACTGGAGAAAGGGATGGAAAGAGGCTGGGCAGGCAGAGCCCCTGATGATAAGACCTGGTAGAGACCGTACCTAGGAACCTGAGTACGAGTCTCTGAACCTACCCTGAGGGCGGCCCTTCTCAGAGGCCGGCCTGCAGACCGGCAGCGTCGGCAGCCCGTGGGAGCTGGCTAGAAATGCAGCCCCGGGAGCCCCACCCAGATCTACTGAGCCAGAACCTGCATGGAGCATTCTGAGGTGACTGTTGGCACAGATATAGATGAAGTTTCCTCCAAAATCTGTGCCTCTAAACGCATTTTTCCCTCCCCCTCCCCTTCTCCCTGTCTGCCTGTTCTCCTCTCAGGAACAGTATAAGTTTGTATACGAGGTGGCACTGGAATATTTAAGCTCCTTTTAGCCTGATGCGACGGGGAACCTGCCGGAGTCCAGAGGCCGCTGCCTTCACGCTCCCTTTCCTGTGACAGCAGCACCTGGGCTCAGGGGCTGAGAGGCGGCGCCCCGCCCAACGCAAGGAGGAGACTGGCGGGCCCATGTTCCGTGGTGGGCTCTGCACCTTCGCGGGGGTCTCCTGCAGCTGTGGCAGATGCGGCTCTGAGAGGCCCGGGCTTCCCTTGCACACCCTACCAGCCACAGACACGGACCCACACAGCGGTGTCCCCATAACAAGGCCCCGGATTTCCTGGCTCCCTGACCTCCTGCTTTTGCTCTTTCCAAGTGTGTGAACCTCATGGCAAGCCGACCCGCAGGTGCTGGGAGAGGCAGGCTCGGCAGCACCTCCCCGGCCCTGCTTCTCCTTGGGAGGGGACGTAGCTCCTCCTCCACACTGTCATGGAGATGACTGGGCTCTGGGGGCCCCTGCCCTGCTGCCCTCTGCGGTCTCCTTCGGGGCCCGCCAGCATCAGACATGTGGATCATGCGACCTGGGGATGTCCCGAGACCACAGCGGAGGCCCCCAGCCTGCCACCTAACCTGCATGGAGCTTGGCCCACTAGCATTCTGTACCCCTCCCCCAGCCGGGGCCTTGACCGTCTGTCACTCACTGGCCAGCCTGCTGGGTCCGCAGCACTCTTGGATAAAGGTTTTCTTTGCTTTTCTGTGGTCGGTGGGAGGGGGTGGAACGGCAGGGAACTTGGCTACTCCTCCTTGTCTTCGTGCAAAGGGACCGCCGCTCTGGGGCAGGGCACTTATAGACCCTTGGGTGGCAGCTCCTTTGGGAGGGACGACAGGATAAGATTTGATTATTTTCCAAAGTGTATATTAAAAGAAACTTTCTTTGGGGGGATGTAAAATCTAAGTCTCTTATGTCAAAAAAAAAAAAAAAAAAGTGGGGAAGGAGGTTTGGATGTGTAGCTATAAGATCTCTCAGGCCTGTAATCAGGCAGTGTCCTTGAAAGGTCCCACACTGGGACAGCACAGCCACTGAGCAGAGGAGGACTGGGCTAGGCTGAAGAGAGCTCCTTTGGTTTCTGGGGCAGATCGAGTACCAGCTTTCAGCATGATCTTGGATAGCCAATTTGAGCTGCTTCCTAGGAAATCCAGGCCAAGAATAGCGACTTCTGCTTTGGTTTAAAATGGGCCAAGGGGATTACGCCTGGGAAACTAGGGTCTTGCCCAGAGCAATGGGTGGCAGGGAACCAACGTTTGCTAGACACCTACTGTATGCCGGGCATGACACCCTCCATGGCGTCTTACCCAACCTTAGAAGCCCCACAGGTGAGCCAGTGGCCTTCCAGTGTCCCCACGTTACAACTGAGGAAACAGAGGCGTCTTCCTTGCTGATGAGGTTCTGGGTTCCAAAAAGGCAGATAACGGCGATAAGACTCAATTTCCCTTGTTTCCTGCATCCTTTCTCAGCCAAGTAATCATTTTATGGAAGGAAAACAAGGCCAGAAACTTCTGAGCAGAGAACTCCACAAATGGAAATGTAATTCATTCTTTCTGATGCCAGGTCTTCTGGGAGGCCCAGAATTTCAGATAGATTTTAGTACCTCATTCCCGGCTCCCCAGGAAAACTAGTCTCATCTAATAATTTCTTAGCCAATGAAAACAATCCCTTGTCCCCTCAGGCAATGAAGTCTGCCAGCCAGAGACCACTCTTTCTACCTTGGCCTCTTACAGGCGCTTTAAGCTCTGCATCTGACAGCCTCGGATGGCCTGGGACGGGGACAGCTCCAACTTGGAGGCTGGTCTGACCCCAGACAGGGCACAAGGAGCACAGAACTCAACAGGCACAGTGTCCTCCCTCACTGTGTCCTGGGGAAATGGAACCACAGTGCAGCATGAGAGTCTTACAGGAGTGGAGGAGCAACGGAGACTCCGCCCAGGGCTTCCTGGAGCGTGTGACATCTCCCCCGCCTCCAAAAAAAGGAAGGAAAGGGATTTCAGACCAAGGAAGCAGCACAGGCAGTGGCGAGGAGGTATGACAATCCCAGGGGTGGGGGCAGTATGGTGGAGGTCTCAGCGCACCTGGAAGATGGGAGAGGCAACAGGGTCGGGGAGCCGAATGTTCCGCCAACAGTGCAGGCTTTGCCCCGTGGGCCCCTGGGAGCTTTGGAGGGATGCGCTCAGCTCAGTGCTGGAGAAGGCACCGGGGCCGCGGGGCTGCCTCTTTCCTCTTCACCAGACACTGTGAAAACATTCCCTCCAGCACGTACTCTTTAATATCACAGCTATTTGTCTGTCTGCTCATTATTTTGTTGCTGGAACAAAATACGCAGTGAATCGTGAGATTCTGCTTCTGTGAGAGACTCGGGGTCTCTGCTCTGCCACTGAGCAGAGTGACCCAGCCAGAGCCCATGAGAGGGGACATGAAAGGAGCCCACAGAAACTGCTCCCATCGGCACCGGCTCTGGGGCTGTCTGGAAGTCCAGGGACACCAGACTTGATCAAGGAAGCGCTGTCGCTTTGGAGGTTCAAAAGGAAGCATCTCAAAGCAAAAGAAGGCAAAAGAGCCCCGCGACAAACTCACTCCTCTCCTTTCGTGGGCCCCTTCCCTGGTGAGGCTGAGCAGGTCCCCGGGCTCGGCCCCCACTGGCTCCACCGGCTCCCCCTGGCTCCCGTCCCCTGCTCCAGCCGGCGTTCCCCGGCCTTCAAAGGGCCTGCGGCAGAGCGAGTCCTCCTGTTGTCTGCCCTGTTCTCAGATCCTGGCTCAACCATACGGAACCAGGCGGTGAGGCTACCTGACACAAATCCTGGGATGTATTCTGCTCAGGAAGGGGTAAAATAGCTTGCAGCTAAAAAAAAAAAAAAGATAACATTGGCTTCTATCCTTTCAAATGGTAGGAATTTAAAATGTGATGTCAGAGAGAAGGGACATTGTAGCAACTCGGGCCACGGCGGGGTAACCCAGGGGCCAGTGACGGTTCTTGCGGCTTGTCCCCTCATTTCCTCACAGCGCAACCACCTTCCAAGACAGCAGGGCGGTGAACAGGTCTCAGGCCAGTTTACAAGGAAGAAATCGAGGCTCCGGGGGTGGGGGTGGGGTGGGGGGGAATGCCTTCCCTGAGATCCCACAGGGCAAGTACGTGGCAGGGCTTGGATGAGATGGGACACTGGTACCCAAAAATCTGAATTTGATCAAGCGCCACCTCCCCCAGGGTCTCTCCCCACCCCATCCCCCACTCCCCCACACTTTCAGGGGAGGCTCACCTTTCTCGATGCAGAGGAAAATAAACCAAATGCTCTCTGGGTCTCACAGCTGGGACTAGCCCCTTGTTTCTAGAGGGGCAAAGAGCGTGCCGTCACCCAACAGAGAGCCTCATGGTTCTCACCTCCTAGTTAGGGACCCTCTTTGGAGAAGAGGTGAGGCATGAATGCGATGCCAGGACTCTCCCCACCTGCGTGTGTTTATGGCGTTGATAGCTTCAGGATGTACCTTCGCTGTGCCCGAACACTGTGTCCTCTCTTTCCGGGAAGATCCTGGGTCGCCCAGAGGCCTCAGGGCCCCTAGAGGCCACAGCGCGCCTCCCTTTGTGGAAACAGCAGGGATAAGCTGGCTTTAGGCCACCCCTCTCTCTCGGTGTGACCTGAGCAATGGCCTGCCAGATGTCAGCCGTCAAATGCAACCAGCAGACCCTGTGCTGGAGACTTCCGCACATGAGCTCAGTGAATTCTTTCCACGTTCCTAAGATGTGTTTGTGACTGTCACCAGAGGAGAGAAGTCACTTGGCCACAGTTCCACAGCTAGTAAAGGGAGAGCCAGGGTATAAACTGGTTCTTACTTTCCCGTCATTGGGTCTCAGATTTTCCCATAACCGGGAAGATTAGAATGAAACAGATAATCCAGTGGATCTTGGAAAGCCCAAACCAGGCAAGGGCAAACTTAAAGCTCTCTCATCGTTCCATGTTTTTACATTAACAATTCACACAATATTTGCATTCCACTCTAATTCAGCCTGACCTGTTTTAGTATGACTAAATATTTTTAACCACGCACCCTGTCCCTCATGTGGCTTTGGTCCCCTCAACTCGCTACAACGAACCCTGGGGGATTGTAACCCCCATGCGAGAGGCACAGTGTCTGGCCAGTCCACTCCCTTCTGAGGCTCATCCCAGGCCCACACTCAAGTCCAGCTCACCTTCCCCTCAGCGGATCCTTTGGGCGGGGGGCGGGGGGGGCGGTACCTGACCTCACTGTTCATGGGTTGGTCGCAGTTCCTAAGTCTCCTCTGGTTGGATGTTGGAAAGCGCTCATTGACATATACTAGCATGAGGAAGAACATGCCAGTTTGGTTTGGTGAAAGGAGCCCATAAAACCCCAAAAGGGAAAGGGGATGGACACAGCCGTACTCAGCAGATTCCTGAATGCTGGGCCTCCTGCAAGGCAGTGCCCTTTGTCCAGACAGAGCCAAGCATGGTTGCTAATGTGGGCAAATCAGGGCACTTCTGCACATGAGCATCTGCAGTCTGGGAGGTGCCTCACTGTGCTTCAACCACACATGTTTCTTGGGTTCCTGTGACACCCAGGGCCCTCGCTGGAGGGGGCGCTCTCAGGAAGCACAGGTTACTGTGGCACAGTTTGTCCACTGGTGAGGCGTGGGGCTGCAGTGCAAAGAGCTCAGTCTTCAGTGCTAATCCCAGCCCGGCCATTTCCTGGCTGTGGAATATTGGGCCAACCAGCTAATGGGAAAAGATGTGAAAAGAAGAGCCTTGGCCCAGTAGGAGAGAGAGGTTTGGAAAGCTTCAGACAGGAAAACGGGAAGGCAAGGCCAAGAAGCTGGAACCCAAAAGGAATTCTCAGAACCAAGGGTGCATAGGGACAACTGGGCGAAGTGGTCACTTCTCTGACACAACAGGACAGGGGATGGGGGAGGACTGGTCAGAAGCACCTAGAGCAAGGATGTTGCTCTATGATAAGTCTCGGTGTCTTAGAGCAAAGGCAATAATTTTTCCTTCTGTCCAATCATGTTCATGCATCATCTGTTCCCCGTTGCTAAGCTAGCTCGTGCTGCATGTCCTCACCAGCGTCCATATTCCACCAGCTCTGGGTGAGCGCCTGCTGTGTGCCTAGGGGTGTCAGCCCAACAAGGCTGCCGCAGGCAGCAGAAGTGAGGCCCGGGGTGGAGCAGCCGGCGCATCTCATGTCATCTCCAGCAGTAACTGCCCGGCCCCGATCGACAGACGCTGGAGGAGACTGAGAAGT